GTAGAAAAATCTGCCAATCTTCGCACACCAATAAACAGAGATGTACCCACAGTCAAGGTTCGGCGTGCTTCGGATGGATTGAAGCCCACTAAAAAGTCTGATATGGATTTTGCTGAAAACGAAGATCTTATGGGGGGGTACCGACTTGAAGATCTCCCTTCTCCGCTGGGAACAGTTGATGGCTCGAACCCTAGCCCTGACCAGGAGAAGGTGGACAACAGTCTTTCTACCCTTCCAGCACCAGCACAGAGTACTCTAGCTACGTTTGTAGCTGCTACAAGTGCTGCTACTAACGGGGTTGGAGATCATGACAATACAAGTGTTCTTTCCGATCCCCCGGATGATGAAGATGTGGATATCGATGCAGAGGGGTCTACAGAAGACGAGGATGAGATTGAGGGCTTGGACAGGATGGACGTTGATGTTACCAATCAAGAAGATGAAGAAGACGATGATCCAGATGCTGGAGATGAGTTGGAGGAATCAGAGTCCGAGGAGTCAAAAGGGGATGGCTCGGCAGGGAGCAGCTCGGGTGGTTCAACGAAGAAAAGCAGAAAAGGCATGGTTTTTGCTCGGCAAAGTAATGGCAGGTTTGGGTCGATGAAGACAGGCGTTTCTGGCAGTAGGGGAGGAGAAAGCGGGGCGGCCGGTGGCTCGAGGGGGAAACCAAGGAAGAAGAAGTGGTGAGAAAACTCTGAAGACTCAATAATGTTAATTATTTTCTGTTTACATCTTGTATTTTTATTTTCCTTTATTACTTATCATTTTGATAGCTGGCAGATCTTATTTCCTTTGTTTACTTGGATGGAATGAAACGTGCGCGTGGAAACGGAATAACTATGGGTTTGGGACTAGGTTTGGGTATTTGTTTTTCTTATTGGCAGTACGCGTTACTCATGCACTTCTGGCAGGGGCTTTTGTTTTCCTATTTATTTCCTTCTTTTTTTTACAACTCTTTTTTCTTACAATTAGGGATAGGAACGGTGTTTGAACGTCTTCTTTCTTTCCTATTTCCTACATTATACTTTTACTACTTCCTCTCTATCAACCCCCCCCCCCCCCCCCCTCTCCACCTTTTTTACATTGCAGCCATATGGCCTACACCTCTTCATCTCCGATTTCGACCCTGGTCTTCTAAGCCGGGTCGGGGCTCTCCCCCTTCCACAGTAGATGATGAGATCTGAGAACCTCCTGGGCCTGCGGTGGCTGTTTTTTGTAACATGTAGGTGGTAATATAATTGGAGAAGGCTGCTGTTGCTGATGTCGACCTGTGATAAATGTTCTATGTTCATATTATTTATATATAGATCATGTTCCGCTCTTCTATATGTGGCGGCGGCGGTTCTTGATAGTCTGGTGCGGTGCGGTGCGGTACGGTACGGTGCTTATTAAATGCTGATATATTTTTACGGTCGTGGAGGTGTATGCTGTAAGAGCGATATGATTCTACCCAGGACTTTTATAAAAACTACATGTATGGGAGAAGGAAAGGGGGGAACCAAATGGCCCACTGCTAAGTTCTTGATATATGTGGCTAAAGCTTCTCCCTTCCACTGATCAGCTCGTCTACTCAATAGCTTTGGACATGATGTCTTCGCCAATAATTGTAGGGTGCGAAGTATGATGTATGCACTTGATGGCATTTCTGTAGTTTGGGATACGTGTGCTCTACATACATGTAGTAAGAGATAACAGTGTGTGAAGTCATTTGAATTGTTTCTAGGTACAATCATCGCATAAAGTATAAACTATGGCGTAAGTAGTAAGAGATAACACGTTCGCCTTACGATATATCTGCATCATGATATATCACTCGCCCGCAATGACCAAGACCATGCAGGATACACCAGCACGCCGTACCTCAACACCTCAACACCCGCCAAAACATGTACCTACGCACTACTGCGCTCCACGCTGCTACAGCCAGATCACATGTACGTGTAGCTAAGCAGCGATGTGTTAATTGCCGCATCTGTAGAACTCGCTCATCAATCAGCTCGACCCGTTGTGAGCTGGTGTCATGAGTGGAATCGGCTTAGAATAAGCTTTCCCCTCCACCACCACCACCACCTCCCGCCAGCACTTTGTACGGCCGCAATGGAGAACTGTTCCGGTATTCTAATATCTCTATCATGATCTCGTGCCTGCACACCCACCTAGCTAGAACCCCCCCCCCCCCCACATTTACCTTCTCTCCTTCCCCACAGCGACCGGTTTCCCCACGACCGGCAGGGGGGGCGCTGTTTTCCGGGGAAGAAAAAAACAGAAAAACAAATACTGCGTGCGAAACAAAATGGTTTCTTCATATAAACGGCGGGTGTGGGGTGCACGTTTCTCCGCACTTTTTTTTTTGAGTTTAAATTGAGGGTGGGACTCGGGGGAGAGGAGGGGGGGGGGGGAGGGACAGCTTCACATGCAGCCAAATTGACGCAATTTTTGCTCTACATACTCTGCCTACTGTAAGCAGGTAGGAGGGCCAGGTACTCTACGTCGGGGGCATAATGCCGGCGGTGCGATTGGATGGTTACATCTACACTTTGAGTCTAGTAGAGTATGTAGAGTTGACACTTGGGTACAGTGCCTGAGTAGAGTATCTGCTGTAGGGATAAGTATCGCTGTATCAGTATTCTACTCTAGTGTCGCAGCATCCGTAGAATCCAGCATAACGCGGGCGGGCGCACACAATCGCAGCGTCGGGGAAACCTTCGGAAGCCGAACACTCCGGCCGGCAGCGGAACCGTAGGTAGGGGTTATGAGAAGAGGAGCAAGCGAAGCCGAAGCGATCTTCGCTGCAATGGACCGAGGGGATTGAAGGGAGCAAGCGAGAGACAGATGATGCAGGGCACGGCGTGGATCCTTTTTTTCATTTTTTTTTACGGAGAGTGTGTGTGTGTGTGTCCTCTTTTTTTTCTTCTGTTCTACAGCTGAATCCCCGCGGAGCTAGCTAGAACTCGTAGAGAGTCGAGGTAGCCAAACAGAAGCACGGGAATGGCGGACCTGAAAACCAAGCTGTTGTGATGTGTGACAGAGAGACCTCCGGAGCGTAGGGAAGCTACTGTATGTAGGGACTGGGGGACGAATATCAATCGGGACGGAGGGACGGGGAGATGTAACAGGCCGAAGCGGGAAATTCTAAAACCTCTTTTTTTATTTTATTTTTTCTTTCTTTCTTTCCCAACAACACAAAATTACATGGTATATTTTAATCTGGGCTAGAGAGAGTTGACATTTTGTGGGGGTAAGGTGCGCCTAGAGTACTCTATGTAGGGTGAGCAGAGTATGGAAAAGTTACATGGGAATTTGTATGGAACGACGGGAGCCGTCAAAGCTACACATGGTACGATTGATGAGAGTTTATGAAGAAGGCGGACAGGGGGGGGGGGGGGGGGCAGCACTCGGGAATGCGTTTTGGCGGAGTGAGAGAAGTGTGTGTGTGTGATGTAAGGTGTTTTGTTTGAACGCTTTGAAGGGTCCCTGGGAAACGAGTGCCTAGAAGAGGGAAGGAAGCGAAGGAAGGAAGAACGGGCTCTGAGGGACGAGTTTCACAAGAAAGACGTCAGAACAGTGCAATCGAGGGAAGGGGGAGCGGTGGGGTTGGGGTTGGGGGGATACACAGGCGACCGCCGCCGTTACTCTAATACTGCTAGAGATCATCAGAAGAAGCAACTCTCTTTGCTCTATCCAGCGACCGAGGAAGAAGAGCAAGCGCACAACGCCAGGCACAGGAAAGAACATCAGCAGCAACAGTACCAGTAAGCAGCGTGTACCCGGGAGCCGAGGAAACGAGATTCGAATCAAGATGTGCGAGAGAGGATGAGCTAAAAGATGCAGCGGGCGGCGGTAGCAAGTAAAAGAGGTAGGGGTCCTTCTGGATGCGGGTATTTTTCTCTCTGGTTCTTCATCTTTCCCGACCCAGAGTGGGCACTGGGTTTTCCTTCGGCGGGGGATCTTAGATCTGGGAGGGGTGGTGTGTGGGATTGGCAGGCAGGCCCGCGCCAGCCAATAGGAAGAGAGAGGTAAACAATTGCTGAGTGATGGTTTGACGAATTTTCTTTTTTTTTCTTCCCTTACAACACGCGCTTATCCTGTTCAAGGGGAGCATATGTACGGAAGCACACTCGGAAGCGCTCTTCAGACGTCGAGTGTTTTTTTCATGCTGATGGGAGAGCTTTTTTTCACCCTTCCCTTTTTCGCTTTGTTGGATGTTGTCTTTTACAGTACAGTTACAGTCAGACTTGTAGGTACAATGCAAGTTCGAATTAATCTGCTGTCTACATAAATAAGTGATCGTCCCTGTACAGTCCTCCGGTAGCTACAGGTACCTTTCTATTGGCCTTAATAACGATCGTTATTTGACTACAGTAGGGAAACTCTACTGCCTAGGTTGTAGGTCATGCATGACCACATATTAGACAGACATCCGTACCCTGACAAGGACAAATAGATGCCTCTAATTGACTAATTGATCTCCCCCCCCCTTTGGCACCGATTTACTGATATACTTGGTTGGTACTGAGCTGTAATTGGTTGTGGATAACTCGGCGGTCTAAGATGCCCAGACCGCCGGTGCCAGTAGCACTGGGTGCTGCCGGTGGTGCACTGGAGGTGGTCCTGATGGAGGTGTGAGGGAATGTCCCCCTCGGTCCAAGTCGATCACTTCCCCCATCCATCCTTTTTCAAACACCTGGCTTTCCCGAACGTCAACGAAATTCCTTTTATACGCCGTCTCTCCCCGCCCCATCCATTCCATCTTCCTCTTCCTCCCGTCGTCTCTCTCTCTCCATTTCTTGTTTAGCATCCCATTCTAGATTTGATCACATAATCTAGATCAACCAAGTTAACATCTTTCTGAATAAACCCACTAGTTTCGTTTTTTTTGCCCTACTGTTTTCTAGCCAGAAAATAATCCCGCCACATTTCAACAACCCCATCCCATCCCCCGTAGCGGTTTAAATATTGCTAAATACCCTCGCCCACGTTTCATTGAAACCGTACTCGAAATGGAGCCGCTTCTAAGTCAATCTCGTCGTCTTTGTCCGTTCCTCAAGAAAACCTCTCCCTCGACCCTCCGCGCCCTCTCCACCGGTGTTTCTCCAAGTGTTGGCGGCGGGACCATGAGCAACCTCCAAGTCGTTGCCCGTCGTTGCCCGGTCATGTCCAAGGCCCTTGCCGTTCAGAGTGTCCGTAACTCTGCATTTTCCACCTTTGGTGCCCGCGCTGGAATTGCTGGGCAGAAGAGGGGATACGTTGTGCCGAGCAAGCCCGCCGGGTTTCAGGCCACCGAGAGGAAGGATGCCGAGGCCGCGAGCATTGAGACCCTGCACCTCCAGGCAGGTGTTCTTGACACCTCTAAGGGTATTTTCAGCCTCAATTGCGCACCAGTTGGAATTGAGTCGAATAGAATGCTAATTTTACAATAGGAATCTGTCCTCATGGCGCTGCAGCGCTCAAGGCTGCCCAGATCGCTGAGAGCATGGCCGCCGCTCCCCGCGCCCGCCCTACTCGCCCCATCAACGTTGCCCCCGTCAAGATGAACCCGGCAACTACTACCGGAACCGCCTTTGACTACGAGGGGTTCTACAACAACGAAATTCAGAAGAAGCTCAAGGACAAGTCCTACCGCTACTTCAACAACATCAATCGTCTTGCCAAGGACTTCCCCCAGGCGCATCTCGACACCCCCGACAAGCTCGTCACTGCATGGTGCAGCAACGATTATCTTGGTATGGGTCGCAACCCCAATGTTTTGAAGGCTATGCATGAGACGCTGGACACCTATGGTGCTGGTGCTGGTGGTACTAGGAACATCTCCGGCCACAACAAGCATGCAATTGGGCTTGAGCGCACCATTGCGAAACTTCACGCTAAACCGGCTGCACTTGTTTTTTCATCATGCTACGTGGCTAATGATGCGACCTTGGCAACTATGGGCTCAAAACTTCCCAACTGTGTGATCCTGTCCGACTCTCTCAATCATGCTTCAATGATCCAGGGTATCCGCCACTCTGGGGCAAAGAAGCTTGTCTTTAAACACAACGACCTCAAGGATCTCGAGGAAAAGCTTCAATCAATTCCAGCCAACTACCCTAAGATTATTGCATTCGAATCAGTATATAGTATGTGTGGTTCTGTTGGGCCTATTAAGGAGATTTGCGATCTTGCCGAGAAGTATGGCGCAATCACCTTTTTGGATGAAGTGCACGCTGTTGGCATGTACGGACCACACGGCGCTGGTGTTGCAGAGCATCTTGATTTTGAAGCGCACGCCGCTGGCAGGCCAGAGGGAACAGTCATGGACCGAATTGATATTATCACTGGTACACTCGGAAAGGCATACGGATGCGTTGGAGGTTACATTGCCGGAAGCTCACTATTCGTCGATATGATCCGTTCCCTCGCACCTGGATTTATTTTCACTACTTCATTGCCCCCGGCTACAATGGCGGGTGCAGATGCGGCAATTGACTACCAAATGCACTACCATGGCGACCGCCGACTTCAACAACTGCACACTAGGGCTGTAAAAGAGTCACTGCAGGATCGTGACATTCCAGTCATTCCCAACCCATCTCATATTGTACCCATCCTTGTCGGAAGTGCCGAGCTTGCTAGGCAGGCTTCTGACAGCCTTCTCGAAGACCACGGTATCTACGTCCAGGCGATCAACTACCCTACCGTCCCTGTAGGCCAGGAGCGCCTCCGCATCACCCCCACTCCCGGCCACACGGAGAAATACCGCACCCACCTTATCGAAGCCCTAGAAACCGTGTGGAACGACCTCGGCATCAAGCGCACCTCCGACTGGCGCGCCGAGGGCGGCCTCTGCGGTGTCGGCGTCGATGACGTCAAGGTTGAGAACATCTGGACCGACGAGCAGCTCGGCTTTCAAGGCAAGAAGTTTGTCGAGAAGGCCATCAGCTTGAAGACCGGAAGAGCAACCGGCCCAGTCATGGACGCTATTTTGGAGAAGGAGATGGGCAGGCCGATGGGCATCGAGGCCTAAGGGCGGTTTTTGGTGCACATGCCCGCTGTGTTTTAATGGCTGGAGATATCATGTCAGCGTTAGTAGTTGCGAAGGGTTTTTATGTAGTAGGATAATGTGGTGGAATAATAGAAATTATTGCGGTACGGGGGTTTGTAGATCCTCGGAAACAGTATTTCTCAGATTTTTTTTTTGCGTTCTTGCCAATGATGTATGCGTGTACTGTGATTTTTTTTTGATTATTACCTATACCACTATGCGAACTGTGATTTTTATGCCATCATGCTGTAATTATAGAAAACACCACCAAGACATCATGTAGCACGTAAAAAAAGCAGAAACAGAACCAGAAACAATCATACCCGCTCACCTCCTACACCAACTTACCCAACAAACACACCCACCCTAGCCCATCAAACACACACACACACGGGAAGAGCAGCATCACCTATTTGTCATGCGCTAGCTCCCGCCATGTACTTTTGCCCACCCGGGTATATCTCGGGGAACCAACCAAACACCAACCCTACTCCACTCACAACCCATCACTCGACATGGCCTGATCCTCTCCCTTTTTCAGTAGGGTGCTGTGCAACCCAATGGGAATCGCGGGATTGGATTTGGCATTTGCGGGTGCGGGTGTGGGTGTGTGTGTGTGTGTGTGTGGGTGGTGACCCGGACCCGGTCCTTGTCCGACGTGCATGGGGCGGGAGGGTCTGGACTGGGGATTTGTCATTGGGTTAGTCATAGTTTGGAGTGGGTTAGGGGGCGGGAACGGGAATAGAGAGGGGGCAGAGAGGGGGGTCATAGAGAGGCGGGGAGTGGTGCGGGGAGGGTGCTGGGGGGTGTTGGGAGTAGAATTGGAAGTGAGGCTTGGCTTTGGTTCTGTGGATGGGGGCGCTGTGGTTTGGTCTGGGCTTGGTTTAGCTTTCGTCTGGGCTTGATTTGGCCAGGGGATTATTTTGTCCTTATGTGTTTGACTGGTGGTGTTGCGCCGAGATATGGAACTTATTCTGGGTGGATGGACTCGGCGGAGGATCGGAGGGAGCCAAGAGAGGTTTGTGGAATTGAGATTGTGAAGTCGGAAATATGGGTCATGGGCTATCACTCGGCGTCGTTGACGATTCGGACTCAGTACCCCCGTTCTGGTTTGTATGGTTTATGCAGTCTACTGCCCGGGATCTGTGAAGTTGTTGTGGTTCTCCAAAGGACTAGAAGTAAGGTTAGGGGTTAGAGGATGGGCTACTGGGGGGAGGAGTAAGTACGGTCACGCAGTCGTGACCGTGTTGGAACGGTATCATGTATGTATAGGATCAAGCAGAGAAGGGGAGGCAAGAATTGAGGGGAAAAACATATTTCTAAAAAGATCTTTTTCAGGATAGTGCCTGACCTTGAATTACAGCCAATATCGACCGCTAGTATAACAGCCACGCTTCCTTCCCCTAGCTATGGCTTTGACTCTTTTGGGAAATCTATTCCTGCATATAGCTAGGAATAACTCAAGTAAATACTGCTCTCTCGTTGCAGCATCCATCCCATCGGTGGGTAGTACTAGATGGGAAGGATATATATCCCTAAAGAGTCATCATGGTTATCTAGCAGAAAAACGGCCGAACCTCATAGGGATTCTTACGTCTGTTCCCCGAAAGCTGAATCTTGATGGTCACTGACGACCCCATCTTTCACAGGCACTATTTTTGGCTTCTTGCACAGACAAGTGCAGCCTAGATTACGTTCTTATTAATAATTCGATATTTCGAGTGTATAGGATGTGGGTTAACATGCCCTGGCAGCAGCTGGAAGCTACGTGTACGTATTCGCCATATAAGCGTACACGCTCCTGTGTCGGAGGCTCCTCCCATGTGTAGTTTCTATTTCGTTTTATTTCCAAAAACGCTCTATACTCTTGCCTCACAACTAACCATAAGTTACCACGCACATGCTCCTCGAAAGTATATTGGTCATCGTCCACCTCATCCTCTACCTCGTCCTCCTCCTCTTCGTCCTCCTCCTCTTCGTCCTCTAGCATACTCTCTATCTAATCCGCTTCCTCAGACATTTTCGTAATTATCGTGGTGGTAGGTGAAAACCTGGGGTAGAGCGGTGAACTGATGTTGAAATAATCCCCAGTTGGTTGAAAGGCGATTTATAAGTAGTCCTACTTATTGGGTGTTCTTTATGTGCCTCTATATTCAGTAAATATCACATCCAAATACTGATGGTATACATCAACGCGTACAAAGAACTGTCGTGACAAACCTTATAGAGCCCTGACAGTGCGGTTTGATGCTTTTATGTTCATCGAGCGTATACTCTCTCTCGTGTTTGTCCATCACCACATCCTTAACCAATTTAGCCGTGGTTGTGTCCACTTCAGGTGGAAGCCTCTTGAGCTGCGCGGAAGAGTTTTGGTTTATAGGGTTGAGGTTTAATTATGGAATAGACGATGGGGCCTAGGAAGAATTTAGATTAGCTAGGCTAATTGGCTTTCGACAAAGAGATTAAGGGTCATGTTATAGATTAGGTGACGCAACTTGTACTCTATGGATGGCTTTCGTACTTAGTTGGCAAACTTAGGAGCTGTAGTGGTAGACTGACGGTAAATAAAGAGTAAATGTGTTCTTTTTAGTCAAGGGTCTTAAGCTTATATCGCGATCGTCGTACATATCCGCACGGTTGTATCAAGGGATGCACGGATGAGAACTAATAGTGATATATGATAATCCTTTACCCTTGGGATCAATATGCTTGATATTGCACGCACCAGTGCACCTAGCTCAATATGTACACACTTACTATTTACATGTGCTTGAGTAGTTAATTACTATACAACATAAAAAAAAGCTTCCAAAACCTTGATCAGTGTTGAATGAAAATGTGTTACTTTAAGCATCAACAAGAAGTGCATAAAAAGCAAGGTAAACAGAAAGTTTAAAAAATGAAAAATGATATCTATCCACGCCATATACCCCCCCATGAGATCCCACTCCAGCAAGTAGCAATAAAAGATAGTGTCACACCCATGAAAAGAAAGAAAGTAGCAATCTCTTAAAAACCTAAAACCCTAGTTACGAGGAAAAAAAGAAGAAGAAGGAGGAGGCGAAGAAGGTAAAGTACATGGTAAAAATAAAGAACTACGCGGAAACACCAACGCCTTGCGCCTTTAACCTCTCTTCAAAACCCTTACAAACCTCCTCGAACCCGCCGGTTACTTCTGCACAAACACCCGCTGCTTCCCTTCTCTTACATCTTGCATCCCAGTCGCCTTCCTCGATCCACCGCCTCGCCTTCTCGACTGCTTCGAGCTCGTGTTTCCAATCGGCGCAGGCTTCACGGGCAACACGTAGCTTACGGTTCGCGGCAATCGAGGATTGTCGAGCCATGTGTAAGGAATCCGAGAGGAATGCGAGCTGCGACACAAGAGAGAGCGTGAGGGAGTGGAGGTTGGATAGCTCGGCAAGAGGTTGCGGAGAAGGTCGAGGGATGAGGTCAAGGAGAGGTAGGAGGAGATCTGAGGTATCTTCCGCGGGAAGATACGCCGAATTTATAGACAAGGAGAGGTCACGGAGGGTTCTCGCTTGATGAGCCATGTTGGACGTTAACGCAGCGTGCGCTGTTATCAGTCTATCATATGGTCCGTGCGTCAATAAGAGATATCCTATATCGGTAATAGGGGAAAGACGAACCTCGTGCTTCCTGTCTCTAGACTACTCTGTGGCGCCAGATTCTGTAGCCCCTCCATCAGCCTTGGCATGACCCCCGCCAGCTCCCCAATTCCGGTCTCTTCCTCCTTGAGCATGTGACGATTCCTCAGCGCCAGGTTCTCAATCTGGTTGATCTTGTCCTCCAACCCCACGCTAATGCCATTCCCCAGATCTTCAGGGTCACCGTACTCACTCCCGTCATAATCACTCGCAGACAACGGCCTTACGGGGGCCTTCTTTACCGAATCATCCTTCGTCGCAGACCCGTTCACGATATGATGGTGATGCGCTCCATTGACCTGGGCCTCTCCGAGCATCATCTCGACTTCGCCTCCCTCTTCGTCGTACTCCTCGTCAGAATCATACATGGCACCCGCCAACTCGTCTGCAAGTGACCCGAGGCCACCGAGACCGCCGCCATCGTCCTTGTGGCCCGGGGGGTTTGAAGTAGAGGGCATGAGCATGCTGTCATCTTCGTACGATATGGAGGGACCTTCGTCAGTGAAATTGGGAAGGGGGGAGGACTCGTCCAGGCCGGTGACTTCGTAGAGTGAGTGTGCCATTTTTCTTTAATAAACGCTACAGATGTAAGTGCTTGAGATAAGTTTATAATTTTATTCGTTGTCGTTATCCGTAATGTATCCGTGTAGATAGATATGGGTATGCGCAAAGGAAAGAGAGAGATGTAGGGAGAAAAGGAGCTTGGTGAGACGAGAGTAGATGCCTTAAGGTGTGCTCCTCAACTTCTGCTTGTTCCACAAGTAGGCCGGGGGGCTATGCACAGAAGAAAAAGAAACCAGGTACCAGGCCTTTCGCGAAACAGGAGTCTAGAGAAGAGGGTGGGGGAGGGGGAAGCAGGGGCGCTTATGAGGGGGAAACCCAGAAGGCTGCGTTGATATGCGATGCAATGGGTTGACCCCTACAGCTAGCTACACGTGAGAAATGCCCACGTTAGTAAGCCGTGATGTGACGATCATCAGATGAAACCCGAGTTGCAATCTTTTTTTGGTTTGATTTTCATTAAAAAAAGCAATATCCTATCCTTAATATTAGGATCTGTGCAGATGAAGTCTAAATAATAACACAAAATGCCAACATGGCCAGGTACCAGCAAAGAACGTCACCTAGGACATGCCCCTTCCTGCTTCACCCATCTCTGTTGGTGTAAAGTACTTTCTTGGTCAATGGCGAACTTGGACCAACGGCAAATGACCAAACCAGCCAGTGGTGTAAGATCATGCTGTCTCATCCGGATAGATCATCTGTGCATTTCCGGTTTAAACGGCTAGACATTATTCTTAATTACACACTCCTTTTAACTTGCAAAATGGGCCAGTACGGGTTTCTGATTGGCCATTAAGCGCGCATTCGCCATTGACATAGAAAGGACTGTAACCCCACACGTCACGACATCAAGTCACGTTTTTCTGTTGGCAGCTACATGTAAAGAGCCCCACCAAACTCAATGAACTTTTTTTTTTTATCGATAACAGACACACGACACGCGGGACCCCGCACCCGCCCCAACTCCCCCCTTTGTACATAAGCTTTTTCCCTGAACTAAAAATCAACTACATACCTAAACCTGCGCAAAAACAAAAACAAAGAAACAACCGAACCAAGAACTCAGAAGGTCGAGATTGGGGACAGCGGAACTGAAGAAGAAACGAAAAAGCAAAAATGAGCTCGCTACGACCTTTCCATGCGCTGGACCTGTTCCGTTTCAACTTGACAAATCTCGATGTATTAACTGAGAACTACGTCCCAAGCTTCTATCTTCAATATCTTGCAAAATGGCCAACACTGTGTTCGGTTATGGAGAGTGCTAGTGGGAAGATTATGGGGTATAGTATGTCGCCTTCTCTGCTACTCATCTCAATCACTCTCTTAGGGGTTTATGAGGATTTGCTAACGAAGCTCTTTGTTTAAATAGTTCTTGGGAAAGCCGAAGGTGAATATACAGAATGGCATGGCCATGTAACTGCTGTTACTGTCGCACCCGACTTTCGCCGTCTCGGTCTGGCCAAAACCATGATGGACGAGCTCGAACGTGTTACTACAACCGTTTATAATGGCTACTTTGTCGACCTATACGTCCGCGTTTCCAATAGACTGGCGATAGATATGTACGAGGGGTTGGGGTATAGTGTGTATCGATGTGTTCAAGAATACTACTCAGCCGGCCCTGGAGAACTGGAAGAAGATGCATATGGTAAGCAACTATTCTCTCTTTGTTACTATGTGGTGCTAATATATGTAATAGACATGCGGAAACCAATGAAGCGCGATAAAAAGCGGCAAAGTGTTCGGGAGAACGGGAGAGAGTTTAAGGTGCAACCGCATGAGGTTTATTAGTTAACGACCTGTGGGAGGAACTAATTAAAAGTTTATGTTCATGGACTGGAAATCAAAAGACGTAGATTAATGTTTATCTGTATATATTCATTTTCTTCTAGATCATTATATATCCTAGAAAAGTGGACGGGAGGCCTGAACCTTTAGAACCGGGAAAGGTGGGACTAAACACCAATACCAAGGGGACGAGGGGTCCTTGGTAACAATTAGTGGAAAGTAAGCTGACCAGACCCCGAATATTCCTGTCATGTACTCTTATAATAATCATCTAACCGACATACTCGATGATTAGCGCCGAATTAGAGTCTATAAAGTAGTCTCGAATTACTACCAGTACCAAAATTCCCAAGGGTTATTTCACGTATTATTTTAAATACTATTCACTGGATACTCAGAACTCCACGGATTGTTTGAGGATTATTCTAGAGAATTTTTATCATAGGCGATGTGATGTTTACAGAAATCAAAATTAGGTCGAAATGGGATGAGTGATCTTTCATGATTGAGCTATCATGGTCTATTCGGGGTACTAACCGTTCGAAGGACGTTCTTCAGCGTGTTGATCAACCCCGAAAATACAAGAGAAATAAGGTAGAGGGCTCCGGGATAGTTCCAGGAGAAGGTTGATAATTAGAACAGGATAAACTACAATGTATATGTGTATATACTTGCAAGGCTTTGCTAGCTACATAAGTACATGTAGCTAACGATTCAAAGTGTTGGCTCAAGTGGGTGGAACAATTTCAGAGATATGCGATCATAGAGTGGGTTGAGTCATGGAGGATCACGCAGTGTTCTGGATTATGTAGGATCGATCGATGATCACGTAGCGGCGTCGAATCATGAAGAATCACTCAGCATTGTCTAATCGCCTCAATGACTGCTATAAAGGCATGAGAAGTGCCGGGCTCCTTGTAGTTCTCCTCAAAACTAGTGCTTACACAAATCTATCGCCGTGTGAGACTGGATATTGGGCGTCTTCTCGCTTGGTTGTGGGCGGGTACTGGGGCAGACACTCCACAATGGGCAAATAGGTAAATATGCCCCGGAGAAAGGTGTTTTCTAGGCTGAACTAATATAGATGAAGTCAGTTTATAGGCTTTTAATAAATACTAATGCTCTTTTTTATACAACCAGTTAGCTTTGTTCTAGATCTTTTAGCCCTAGCCTATCATATTGTTTGAATAAAGTGTTTAATGGGTAAGTGGAGTTCGTGGGCGGGCTGGACAAAGCTAATAAGCTCTTAGCACATTAAGACATACGCACTTCCCCGACAAGCATGTAACAACCACATGAAACTCCCATTCATATATGTTTACCACAAATAATTTGACCATCCGCTCTCCAGAACTCGTTTATATCAATCACCAGCTGCTGGGGTCCTTCCAAAACCCTAGCCCAACCGCCAAGGCTGCACAGCATATGACGCACCCAGCTACATTCCTGGAGTAAATAAAGCTCTGTAGCCTCGTCAAAACTTGGTGCCATCGCCTGAGCTGATAGCAGCGTAGAGAGCCGCCACGCATATATCTGCTACACAAGTAAAGTAGGTATGTTTAGGCATATCGTTTCACGCCATGCCATGTATTTTGCTTCCGGCTAACAGCATGTAGCTATAGGCAGACACCTCTTCAGCTTCACCCAGGCTTTATCCTCCCCCACCCCCCAAGCCTGTCACCATGCCATTACCCGAACTTCCCAACGAGCTACTTTTCATGATCGCCAAGGAACTAGGCCGACAGGACCTCAATTCGCTTATCCAGACTAGTCGCTGCATGTTCAATGTCCTGATATCTCTGCTCTACGACTCCATCGACAAGTGTCAAGACCAGGATGATTTATTCTGGTGGGCTGCCAAAAAGGGAAACGAATCGTTGCTCAAGCTAGTAATTGAGAAGGGCGCGGACCCGCTGCAAACAAAAATCCCAGACACGCAAGAGACGCCTCTCCATGTTGCGTCGAAAAATGGACATGAGCAAATCGTCAGGCTACTTCTGGGGAAGGGTGCGTATGTCAATGAGGTGGACCTCTGTCAGGAGACGCCCCTGATTCAGGCTGCGAAAGAGGGTCACGAGGTGGTTGTGAGACTTCTGATTGAAAACGGGGGCGACGTTCATATACGAAGTGAGACGGGAGAAACAGCGCTACATCATGCAGTGGGCGAGGACCAGGAAGCAATAGTCAAATTGCTGCTCGAGAAAGGTGTTTGTGTTGATGATACATGTCCCAAAGGCCATACAGCTTTAATGAGAGCTTCGGCCAGAGGTTATGCACCTATTGCGAGACTCCTTTTGGAGTGGAAATCTGATATTAACTCCCATTCTAACAATCACAATACATCTCTCCATCTTGCTGCATTGAATGGCCATGATGAAGTGGTGAAGCTGTTGCTAGAAAAAGAAGCTGCTGTTGACGAGAAGGGTCTTGACGATCGGACGCCCTTAGTTATGGCGGCTAGAAGTGGACACGCATCGGTGGTAAAAATACTCCTTGAAAGAGGGTTTGATCTCTCTATCCGGGACAGATTCAATAACACGGCCCTTCATTTAGCAGCGCGTGAAAATCACACAGAAGTTGCGGGCCACCTCTTAGCAGCTGGTGCTGATATTGATGCGAAGGGGGAGCTCGATCGAACACCATTGATTTGGGCTGCAAGAAAGGGACATTGCAATATGGTTAATTTCCTTTTAGAGCGGGGATCTAGCATCTCTGCTCGCGACAAGTTCAATGATACGGCTCTTCACTTTGCAGCCTTTTATGGACACGATGAAATAGCAAAATTACTATTGCAAAGGGAGGGTGCTTCTGTCAATGAAAAGGGGTTCAGAGGCCGTACACCTTTAATTTGGGCTGCAAGAAAGGGATACGTAGCAACAGTAGAGTATTTATTGGAACGAGGTTCCGACGTCTCTGCTCACGATGGCGATAACGATACGGCCCTCAACTCTGCAGCGTTGAACGGTAATGTGGGGGCTGCTAAGTTACTTCTGAAAGCGAAGGGATGTTGTATAGACGAAAAAGGTTATAGAGATCGAACCCCATTGATATGGGCAGCAATAAAAGGTCATGACGAAATGGTGGAGCTTCTTTTGGAGCACGGGGCGGATATTTCAGTGTGCGACGACGACAACGATACGGCCCTCCACTGTGCAGCATTACATGGTAACGAGAGATCGATAAGGTTGCTGCTCATGCGGGATAAAGGAGCTAGTATAATCAATCGGAAGGGATATAGGGATCAAACACCTTTGATCTGGGCGGCAAGGAAGGGACACCAAGCAGCAGTAGATCTCCTTCTGGAGCACAATGTTGATATTACTGCCCGCGACAAAGACGGAAATACCGCACTCCATTTAGCAGTACGCAACTCGCATACACGCACATCGGAGGTCCTCCTAGATAGAGGAGCCCATATTACTGCCTGCGATAATACTGGTAAAACTGCGCTCCACATGGCAGCAGATATCGCCCATCCAGCTCTCGTTACACTTCTCTTGGAGAAGGGTGCCGACATCACCGCCCGCGATAATGACAGGAATACAGCCCTGCACCTATCAGCACTCAATGGCAGCTACACCGTAGCAAAAGTACTCCTAGATGATGAAGCTGACATTGACATTGAAGACAAGGGCATCTGGGACCTGACCCCCCTAATGATGGCAGCTCAAAATGGACTTGGAACCACGGTCAAATTCCTTCTAGATCGAGGAGCCAATATTTCTGCCCGGGACAGCCAGAACAACACATCGCTGCATTTGTCGGCATTCAGCGGCCATGAAGGCGTAGCAAAGCTACTCATAGAGTGTGGAGCCGACATCGAAGCCCAAGACGGCGAGGGTCAAACACCTCTAATCGTAGCCGCAGGAAACGGGCACGCAGCAACAGTAAACCTCCTTCTCGAGCGGGGTGCCGATCCAGCTGCCCGCAACACAAGCAGTAACACCGCGCTCCACGTATGTGTTTTCAACGGGCACGTCATCGTTGCACGGCAGCTCCTCGAGAAGGGCGCAGACGTGCACGCCATGGGCCTTCTCGGCCGGACAGCGCTCCACATGGCGGTCGACATTGGCAGCGAGGCCATTGTGGCGCTCCTCCTGGAGTACCATGCCAACCCGCACGTGCAGGATTTCGAGGGAAAGACGGCCTTCAGGATGGCGAGGGAGATTGGCCTCAATAGGATCATCAAGGCTTTGAACGGAGAGTGTGCGGCTGTTCAAGGTAGCTCTCGCTCCGATTTCCGTGACGGGGGTGTTCTAATCGTGCCTGAAAAGTTACCACGAGCCTCGGCGAGCTGAGCACGATGGAGGAGGATGGCGGGCCGAGGAGGAAGGGGAAGCTCGATGAGGTGCTGGAGAAGGTGCGGTTCTTGAAGGATGGCAAGTGGTCGCATTGGTGATTGATTTGAAAAGCGGGTGAGGGTTGGGGGTTGGGGGTTGGGGGTTGGTCGGGTTTGCGGGGTGAACGGAGTTTTTTATGGCATTTGATCGGAGCTAAAACTTATTTCATGGACATTCAAGGCATGACTCTTTCTTTTCTTTTTTTGTCTTTTTCTTTTTTCCTTTTACGGCAGGTAGATGTATACTGCGTATTCCAATTTGTAGAACCTTGAAGCGATATTTGTAAAAAAAAAAAAAAAAAAAAAAAAAAAAAGGTGCTTTAATACGAAGCCATGAGATTACGAAATCAAAAGCACTGGCGCATATCAGCAAACAAGGTCGGGGATAAGCTGGGAGGCTGCGCAGCCCGGAACCCGCGAAAATAAAGCTGGATGAATAGCAGCAAGCACCCACAACACCGCGCGTTATTACGGATCCCCAAAGACCCGACGTTATAAGTTGACATCATGAGGTATCACTCGCGCACTATTCTCGTTGTTCTAGCCCATCTAGGAAGTCCGCTTGCTTGGCTGGTCTGCTTGTTCCAACAAAACACCAGCTTGGAAACTCAACGATCAAGACTGCATCTTTAATGGCAATGTGACAATCGATCCAAAAGAACGATTTGGGAAAAAAAAAGAAAAAAAAGGGGGAGATACTGTATCTAAGAACTGATCACATTGGGGAGAGGATAGATGGTTGGTGGCAGGGGCGCTGACCTGGATTGGAAACCTCATCATATTAATCATTTTTATTTCAATTTTTTTCTTTCTCCATTTCTTTGCCATTCTTTCAATATTGGAATTAATCCATCCATCATAACCAACACTGCACTCTCCAACCCAACCCAAGCGCAGTCCCACCAACAACAACAAAAAAAGGATAATAATACCCCCCCCCCCCTCTCTTCCCCCTTCCATTACTCTCCTATTAACTACTCTAAGACCCCACCCCCCTCCTCTTCCTCCTCCTCCCCCTCGCCACCGGCCCCTCCTCCTCCTCCATAGCCGTCACAACCCTCCCAACCGCCGCCACAACCCCCAGCGGCCGCACCCCATACCCCCCATACCCATACCCATACCACTCCCGCCCCAGCTCAAGCTCACCAGCACCCGCCACTGGCAGCCCCATCTCCAGGTCCCGGAACGCCTCCACTGACCCGCCCTCCTCATCGTCAGGTACGGGCATGATGTAGCTGAGGCTCAGGCTCATGCTATCCCTCCTTGCTACTGGTCCCTGACTACTCACACTCCCACTTTCTTGGGGGCTGCTTTCCTGAGGACTACTTTGCTGCGCGTCAGAAGCAGAAGCGGGGGCGGAGGCGGAGGCGGAGGCGGGGCTCCCCCCCTGCCCGTCGTTGAACTGCATCTGCATACCCTGCAGATCAATCAGCGCCTGGGCAGCGTCAGCGTCTGCATCCGTGCGCCAGTCAGTATCCGCATATATCACCCTCTTCGGCGGCACCGCTTTCTCCCCTTTATCTTCCTTCTCTCTAGGCAAATTTTTTGCTCTCGCCACCGCCGCCGCCGCAGTAGTAGCAGCAGCCGTCTTCCCGCGCTTCACCTTCCACCCCTTCCTCCTGCCCCTGCCCCTTTCCCTCCCCCCCTCGCCCTCCTCAGCAGGCGTCGTATCCTGCCCCGCATCCCCACGCATCCGCAGCGCCGGAAACGCCATCTCGCGGATCAGCGTCGGCGAGCGGATCGGCTGCGGCGGGTTCGTCGGCGGCGGAGTGTCGAGGGAGCTGAGCGACTCGAAGCGCATATTCGCCGGCGCCGGCGCCCTCTTCCCCAGCGGCTGCGGCGGGGGTTCGCGGGCGTGGACGTCGCTGGACGAGCTGAGTGATGCCGGCGGCTGCAGCTCGAACGACGTGAGCGTGTCCATGGATGCGCGGGTGAGGCGAGATGGGTCCGGGTTTGGGATTGTTGTGGTGAATGTCACGTTGCGCGGAGCGGCGGCGGTGGCGGTGGCGGTGGTGAAGGCGGTGGTGGTGGACGGGGTGATGGTGCTCTGTGCGGACTTGTCCTTGATGACGCGGAGTGGGGAGACTGGTTTCAGTGGGCTCTCTTTCCGTGGGTGGGTGCGGGTGCGGGTGGGCGAGTGCGGGCGGCGGCGGAAGGACTCGGGGATGGCGCGGCGCTCCGTGGTGGCGCGCTTTGTGTATGCGCGCGGGCGGGCGGAGCGCGGGCTCTTGTCCCAGCGGGAGAGCTCGCCGACGGCGGTGAGGGTGTTGGGTTCGTCGATGCTCTGTGAGAGCGGCGGTGGTGGTGGAAGTGTGTGGGAAGCTCTGCTGATATTGATATTGACTGCTGCGCCGTTGTGCTGCTCGGCGTCGCTGGGGACAAGGTTTTCTTCAGAGGCCGCGGCGGGCTGCTCCATCAGGGAGAGCCGGGTGACGTGTGTCTGCACGGCGGCCATGAGGTTCTTGGAGGCGCCGAAGGTGTCGGGCGCCGTGATGTAGCCCACTGCTGGTGGGCCTGGGCTTGGAGTGGCGGGGATGGATTTGGTATACTTGCTTCTGCTATCACGATCACGATCAGGCTTCAGCTCGACAGACAGCTTTGAGGCAGAGGATCCAGCCCTGGCGGGGGATCCAGCAACAGAAACTGAAGACCCCGTCAATGCAGAGGAACCCGTCATGGCAGAGGATCCAGCTGCAGAGGGTCTCCTTTTGAAGGTGTTCCTCACAGACTGAAACGCACCCTTCCAGGAGCTCCTCGTGGAGCGTTTCGAGACCACCGACAGCGCCCTCGAAGCCGGCGACATGTGCCCCGCATAAGCCGCCCTGGGATCATTTCTTCCCTCTGATTCAATATATCTCTTTGCAGGCTCAACATATCTCTTCTCCCCAGGTTCAATAAACCTCCTCATATCCCCCCTCTCTGGCGTCCTCGGCCTCTCACTGCCACTCGGCGACGCAGAAACCTCCACCCTCAGCGACGACGACCTCGTAATCTCGCTCTCCAACCTCCTCAACCTCGGCGCCGTCAGCGGCTGCACAACCTCCGGCATCGGCACCGGCGGCGACAACGGCATGCCACTCTCAATCTCTGGGGTCACTACATAACCCGCCTCCTCCGTCTCCTCCGCCTCCTCCCTCACGCCCCACCCCGACTTCTTCCACCCCTTGCCATTGACACCACGCAGCCTACCATCCACCTCCTGCAGCGGGAACTCCATCATGCCCCGCAGCGTGATGGGCGAGGTGTGTGACGTGCGTGCGACAACGACGCCGACGCTACCCTCGCTGGCCAGCGACGGGGCGGAGGACGCAACGCGCAGCCAGCTCTGCACCATGGAGCGCACCTTGTTGGGCGGGATCTTGTGGCGGTCAAAGTAGGGCCGCGAGGAGACGACGACGGGCTCTTGCGACTTGAGGTTGAAGAAGGCGATTAGGGACTGGACTTTTGAGGACTGGCCCGGGATGTGCAGGGGGCGGGGCGGGAGTCCGGGCGCCGCTGGGAGCGGGAGGTGGAGCGGCTGGTGAGGAGACTGAGCATGGTTGCTCGGTGGGTGTTGGGGCATATATTGGGGAGGCCAAGTTATATAGGTAAAAGTTCCGCGGGCTTGAAGATTGGGAAGTGTGAGATGGCTGTTATTTCTGTGACCTATGTATGGTCCTTTTTTGATCTGGCTGTGTGTGTTTCTGTAATGAGGGTGGGTGGGATAACGATATTGATAGAGCTGGCTAGCTGGGTGCGAGGCATAACTGGCTGGCCTGACAGTGCAGTAAAGCTTTCGGTGCGGCGGGGGGGGGGGGGGGTGGAGGTCTGCAAAAAAGACACAGTTGATGTCGTGATGTCCACTTATGGGATGACGGGTCCTTTTCTTTGGTAGTGACAGGTCCAGTCCAAGCAGTTTCTCATTGTGGCCCTGCTCTGGTAGTCTTTCGTGGAGCTTTATATCCACGACAGGTTCGAACGTTACATCCACGACAAGCCCGCACGAGTCGTAGACCTTTTCTGGTTGTATCTAGTCTGGCCACCAGATATCTGCAGTTCCTCTGATGGCAATTCTTAATGCTGCTGTTCCTGACTGGCGAGTCTGTCGGCGACGGGCCACAAGATATGTATCCGCGATTCTGATAGCAACATCAAAAGTGTTGAATCCGTTTCCAAAGACCCAGCCAGCCAACAACTGAAGCCTGAAGACTCTGGTAGGTCGACGTCCACCAGCTATGTAGCTACACGCAGCGGAGGCCCGGTAGTAGCATTACTCGATAGCAGCATCATCATATCGTTTTCCCATCCCATGAACAAAATGACCGCCTGATGAAAGCATGTTCTCGATAGGTGCATGACGTTCCCGGCCACATGCTGCTAACGAGACTCCGCTGTATGTGCGCCGGCTCGACGATAGCAAGCAAACATTGCCGCAGACCAGGCACTTGTAGATACGCCCCGCGCCGCATTGTAGTCCATAACCCGCGCGAGCGCTCAAGTTTCACACGGGCCCCACATCTAGCACACACTCGTGAGCATCCATTCCGTTCCATTCCATTCCATTCCATTCATTCCAAAAGCGCACATACACAAACACCCCAGACACATAAAAAAAAAAAAGTCCCAAAGGAAGAGTTTTTAAAATTGATATGTACTAAAACTACAAACCAAGCAAGAAAGAACGAATCTGAAATGTCGACTGCATGAAAAGGACCCCCGCCCCCATCAACTAAGTGGGAGGCAGCGGTGAGTAGAGAGTCTGTAATAATGATAACTAATCTGCCTTACAACCAAAATAGGGACAAACCACGATCAGGGCTTTGAACCAGAGTGTTGGTAAGGGTGTGTATCATATCAAGAGGGAGGGAGGAAGGGAGAGGAAAAAGAAGAAGGAGAGGAAGGGAAAAGACTGTGATGATTCGATTTTTTAGTCGCTACTGTATGTACATGATCATGAGCGCAGAGCCGCCATCGAGTCGCAAAGTCGAGAGTGCGAAAGGAAGGGCCCCCATCGCGCCTTTTAAGCACGCCCCGCCAAGCCCCAATTCCCCAAACCCACTCTAAATTGGCCGCTCGCTCCCAACCCCAGCTAGCCCCCGCACCCCTGCACCACGCAAAAGATGGGACGAAGAACCCAGCCAGCGAACGCGCGCGATAATAGCTCAGTTGGGTTGGGAGAAGCCGTCTTTGGTTTACAAAAACTACCCGGGGTGCCAATAAATAAATCTGGAGGTCACGGCCCGTTCAATCCGGGTTTGTCGCATTTTACTCTTTTTTGTTTGCCCTTGCTGGTTTTTTTTTTTTTGGGGGGGGGGGGGAGGACTGTGGGTTTGGGCCCGGGGGGGATAGTGGTGGGAGAGGTTGTGAATGTCATGTTAGTAGGTAGGGGAATTGGTATATCTACACTCGATGTTTCTCTGCGTTGAAAGGAGTTGTAAGGGATACTTAGAAACCTAAACCTCTCACTGCATGCCATGCCTCAACTGCGGCGAGGGCAATTGGTACAGTATGTATCGCGAGCGGTAGCAGTAGTAAGTTATCGTGCGCACGACGACTCTGTACAAATTCTGGTCCTGATACTGTTTTTTAAAAAAACCCGTATCTACACTCTTCACAATCTTCACCTGGAAAAGAATCACGTTTCACCGTCTACAACAAACCTATAAATCCATAAACCTGCATCCCAATCATTGACCCACCCACCTACCCCACCTACCTCATCAACTCCCCCACCTCCAACTCCGCAGCACCCACCTCCTCCCCCATCCTGCGCACCCTCCACACTTTCAACCCCTTATCGAAGCCCCCCGTCACCAACCACTCCCCCTCCTCCCCTCCCCATCCTCTTCATCCACAGACTTGACCCTCCCCGCCCACAACGCCCTAACCTTCTCCCCGCGCTCACAAACCCTCAACCCCGCCACAACCCTCCCGCTCCGCACCTCCACCCCACGCACAACCCCGTCATCACCATTCACCCACACGCCGCGCCCGCACGGCCGCCATGCCAGCGCGCCGCTGGAGTACGCGCTCTGCGGCGCGCCGACGAAAACCTCTTTCAGCACCGCTGCCCCTGCCTCCCCCTCCCCCTCCCCCTCCCCGGTGCTGGAGGGGACGCGCACAAGCATGAACTTCATAGCCGGCACATGCGACGTGACCACGCCCAGCAGTGACCGGTCGGTCGGGTGCGGCGCAAGATCCATCGCGTGGAACGCCGCCCAGCTGTTTGCCGCCGGCGCCAGGTTCGCGGTTGCGCGGTGCGGGAGGCCCGGTGCGAGGGCGTGGTAGTAGAGGCTTGTGCTGTCGCGGCGTGAGAACACCACCAGCGGCTCCCCACCCCCACCCCCGGGGGGTGTGATGATTGCGAGGGCCTCCGGCGGGGTCGGGAGCGTTAGGGTTGCGATGTGCGCGAAGGAGGGGTCGCCGGTGGCGGGGTCGTAGAGGATGGTGTGTGCTGCGAGTGTGCCGTCGTAGGATGCTGTTGCGAGGAGGGTTGTGTTTGTGCTGTGGTTGTGGTGGAGGGCGGCCTTTGTGGCGTATTTTGTGTGGGGGCGGGTTGTGCAGAGTGGGGTGGGGGAGGTGGGGGTGGAGAGGGCGAGGTGGCCGGTCATGGAGGTGGTGATGAGCCATTTGTTTTGCAGCACGGTGACGGAGAGGATGGCGGAGGGGTGCAGGGCGGGGTGGGCGGCGAGGAGGGTGCCGGTGGGGGTGTAGAGGCGGAGGAAGCGGTCGGCGGTGGTGGCGATGAGGACGGGGTGTGGCCAGGGGGCGAGGGTGGGGGCGAGGGTGACGGAGAGGACGTTGGATTGCGGGGTGTTGGGGGGCGCGATGAGGCGTGGGATTGTGGGGTCTGCGGTGGGGGGTTAGTGGGGGGTTGTATATAGAGTGTCTGATGGGGGAGGGGGAGGAGGCGCACAGGGTGTGGTGAACTCTTCTTCGTGGTCGAGGATCTCGACCTTTTCGAGGGTGAGGGAGAGGTCAAAGAGGCGCTTCTCGTCGAGGAGCTTTTCGAGGCTGAGGGCGGTGGTGGGGTCTTTGGGGTCGACGCTGGAGGCGGGGAGGTTTGTCTCCTGGAGGAAGGTTGCGAGAGTCTGTGGGGCGGGATTGTTGGTTAGTAGGTGAGCTTGAGGAGATAAGTTTGGGAGCTTGCCTTGTCGTAGCCATTGGACTTGAGGAAGCGGGCCACGAGGAGCACCGGGGAGTCGGGCGCGGGCATTGCGTCTGCAGGTGTGTGGATGGGTGGTGTAGATGGATGGTGTAGATGGATGCTGTCTGTCTGCAGTCTGTGGGGGGGGGGGTGTTGTAGATGTATCTATGTAGATGGCGAGTCAATCACAACACCCGCCCTGCCAGCACAATCATGTCCATGCCCATTGCTGCCTGCACTCAGTGCGTGACCGCAGCCAAGCCACCTGCGCGTCATACCAACACGACAACCCAAGCAAGGACAATCAATTCCACGACACAGAAAGACAAAGACTCAACACCACGCAGCAGCAGCAGAGGAGACACAGAATAGGAGAGGAAGAAGAACAAGAGACACCACACCACAGCCAGCACCCACTCACTCACCCCCTCCCCTGATCTCTCTCTCTCTCTCTCTCCATCTCTCTCTCTCTCTCTCTCTCTCTCTCTCTCTCCATCTCCCTCTCCCTCTCCATCTCCCCCCTCCCCCCTCTCCCTTCTCTCTCCTCTCCCTCTCCCACTCCCACTCCCACTCACAGCCAGAGATAAAACCACACCCCGCCCATGGCCAACCCCTTCACCACCACCACCGCTCCCCCACCGCAAACAATGGCCCACCCCACCGTCCAAATCTCCTACGACGACGACGACGACGACATCCTCATGGACTACGACGACCCCCCACCACCGCCCCCATATCCACAGCAGCAGCCGGCGACCCAATGCAAGACATCGAAAGCGAGCTCCTCGCCCCCGAAAAAATCTACCTCAAAGGCGTCGACAGCATGTCCACCGCCAACGTAAAGTCCTTCGCCTCAACCCACTTCACCGCCGCCCCGATCCTCAAAGTCGAATGGATCGACGACTCCTCTTGTCCGTCCCCCCCCCCCCTCTCTCTCTTCTGCGGAGTGCTAACAGTACCCCCCAGGCTGCCTAGTATACCGCACCCCCACCGAGGCCGCGGAAGCGCTGCGCGCCCTGGCACTCGACGACGAGGAGCTACCCGCGCTCACGCTCCGCCCCGCGAGGCTGGCAGCGTCGCACCCAGACTCGCGCCTCGAGGTCCGGGTCGCGCGCCAGAGCGATAAGAAGATTGCGGGTGCGAGAGACCGTAGTCGGTATTACCTGTTTAACCCCGAGGAGGACCGCGTCGAGCAAGCTGCACGCCTGTTTGTCCCCCCCCCCCCCCCCTCTTCCTACATACACAGAACAGTATAGTACAAAGCTAACACCCCCCCCCCCCACAGCCGCCGCGAACGCGAAGAATCCCGCCGCACCCGCCCCCGCCGCACCGGCAGCGCCGAGCACGACCACGACTACGACCGCCGCCACTACTCCCCCGCGAACACGACCGCCGCCGCACCGCCGCCGACAGCAGCCACACCTACACCAACGACTTCTACGACGACGACGACGACAACACCCCCAGCTCCCGCAACTCCCGCAACGTCTCGCGCGACCGCTCATACTCCCCGCGCCCCCGCCCCCGCCCACGCACACGCACCCGCTCGCGCTCCCCAATCGAGCTCTTCCCCAACCGCAGCCGCAACCGCGAGCTATTCCCCGAGCGTGCCGCCGCCGGCGAACGCGGGAGGCTACGCAGCGAGGAGGGTAGTAGTGGCAGTGGGGGTGGGGGTGGACGCGTGCGCAGCGAGCCCGTGGAGCTGTTTCCGCGGCGGCCGGCGGCGAGCTCGCGGTTTGAGGTTTCGCCTTCTCCGGGTCCAGGGCCGGTGGAGCTGTTTCCGGGGCGTGGTGGTGGTGTTGTGGGGCCGGTGAAGAAGTCGTTGGAGGAGCGGATTAATCTTGACAGTAGTGGGGACGGGTTTAGGATTAAGGGCCGTGGGGGGCAGGGAGGGGGTGGTGGTGGAGGAGGGGGGGATGATTTGTTTGCGCAGAAGTTGAGGGCGGCGAAGGGGGAGGGGCTTGTGGTTGAGGAGGGGGGGCGGAGGAGGGGTGGGGCGAGGAGGAATAGGGCGGAGGATATGTTTGGTTAGACGTGGTGTGGGGCGTAGATGGTGGAGGTGTATTGTACGTAGCGTAGGGGTGTTTTATGGCTAGTTCTTTTTTTCCTCTTTTGCTGCTTATTGCTTGCTTGAGTTTGGTCTCTTTTTTTTTGTTTCTTTGGGGGTGAGGGGGTGTTTATATGTATCGGTATCACATCGAGCTCGTGTTGGGGAGGTGGGATATTATATTAGTTATTGGAAGTTACACGTAGTGGGTTCCTTTCCTTGGTTGTGGGGCTAGCTACTGTGTTTATTATCGTCTTGGTAGTGCTACTAACGGTTATACATGCTGTTTAAGAGATCTCAGTGTGAACTATTCAAAGCTACATGTAGCTGCCATGTGCATCATTGCCCAAGAAGGGAGGGGATAAGGGGCAGAAATAGGGAGGGTGTAAGGGGAAGAAATAGGGAGGGTATAGTAAAGATGCAGGAAGTAACGAGGAAACAGAATTATCCACAGTAAAAAAAAAGCCAGAGAGAAGGAAACCAATATATACTCGATTGATACAGCTAGAAAGAAAGAGGTTGGCAGCTAACGTAAAACCAGAAGCCCAGAAAACCCAAGCAAAGACAAGGAGAGATGGCTACAGAAATCCGAGAGATTTAGGAAACATAGGAGGAAATGCCGGAAGACTCGTAAAACTAAACATAATCGTTGGAAAATTCCATGGTACTAGTAATGTGTAGTCACCAGCCTAAAAACGAAGATTAGCACACGATCGAATCAATATATATAAAACATAAAGAAAAAGAGTGAAAAAGCAAAAGGGAAACAAACCTTCCAACTACTCAGCATCCCCAACAACATCCCCATTGCTAGTCCCTGTACCAGACCCATCTCTTTCCCCGCCATAGCCTACTCCGCTGCGCTCCCCTTTCCAGGGACCTCATCATCCAACATATGCACGATGCTAATAGCATCCATCTCCGCCTCGTGCCCGTCATCCTCCTCCTCTTCTTCCTGGTTTTGGCCCTCGTCTTCGTCGGTCGTCTCCCTTTTCTCCAGATCGCCAAATTTATAGCGGCGATGACCCTTTTTGGGGGGTCCCGGTCTGCTGCGGGGACCCCCGGATCTGGGGAGCCTTGAGTTGCCCGCAATGCGGGCCTCGGGCTTGGGTTTTGGTTGGCGGGGTAGAATTTCTACTAGAGGAATTAGATCTTCGGGGGTAGGTTCCTCTTTGTTGGCGTTGATCAGCTTGAGGCATTTGGTTTTGAGTTTTCTTGTCCAGTCCATTTTTAGTATGGATGTGGTTTTTCTTTTTCTTCTTTTTTTTTTTTAATGAAAATCTAAATAAAATGAGTTAGTTTTGATGCATGGCAAGGTTTTATGATAAGTAGAAAAAAGATGAACATAAGAATGACGTGAGAGGGAAATTTAATAAGATTTCATTGAAAAGGGAGCGGGAATAATAGACCTTAGGTATGACAGAAGTCTAAATAAGGCGGTGTTTGTATTTGTATACTATCGACTCTTTTTTATTATCTGTGCAAAAGAAACGTAATAAGTGTTAGACTTAATAACTCTATTCAAATAAGCGGAATAAGATTAAAATACGGATGAAGTGAACGGGATATCAGATTTTATTGAAAAGAGGATTAGGAATAGCAGACCTTGTGCTTGACAGAAGTCGAAATAAGTACTATTTCTTTTTATTCTTTTTTTCCTTTTTTTTGTACGCTCTCTTTTTACTATCTGTGTAAAAGAAACTAAGTGTCAGTCTTGCAATTGATGAAAATAGGGATGCAGTGAAGGGGGAGAAGTGGTTGAAAAGTGGTGGTGGGTAACATACCTTCGAATCGTTCGACGAAACTCCAATATCTCCGTCACAAGTATATGCTTATATCTTCAAATAACAGCTCAAGAAGTTGAGTCTGTTATCGAAATGAAAAGGTGATATGATGATGAGATGAACAATGTGGGAAGGAAGCGGAGGGAAGGAGTAGAGGTAGAAAACTCAAGTCTCTCTGTCACAAAGGTCTTTTTGAGAAGGAAGCGGAGGGGGGGGGGGAGTGGGTAGAGGAGGGAGTGGGTAGAGGAAAATAGAAAACTCAAGTCTCTCTCCGTCACAAATACCTATGTGAGAAGAAGGCGGAGGGAAGGAATAGAGGAAGATAGACAACCCAAGTCTCTCCGTCACAAATGTGTGTTTATATCTTCAAAGTCAAGTCGTTGAATCTGTTATCGAAATGGAAAGATATTTCAATGATGGCGGATGGGATAAACCGTGTCAGGAGGAAGTGGATAGAGAAAAGGGGGAAGAGGAGGGAGGGAATGGAGGAAGGGGGGAAGGAGCTTTTTGTCGATTGCAACTACCTAGCTAGCCTGCGTAGAGCTAGTAGTCTACACCAGCTCCAGATTCAGGCCGACGCATGTGTAGCCCGTCTAACGACGGCGGCCTGTGTAGGTAGCGTAAGGTCAAGAGGGTAGGTCCATACAACCGCTCTATGTCCCTGGCACACATTTACTCCGGTCAAAACAGTAAGCAGAGAAAGTTTTGAAAGTGCGAAAGTTTGAAAGTCTAAAGGCCGCAATCCTCCTTTTCCTACCATCTCATCATTGGTCATCCAACAGAGTTTGTGATACAGTCACCGCTCATCACTCGGAGGGCCGAGTGATCAGCCATGGAGCAAACTCCAACCTCTCACCCCGAGATATAATTCCCATACATGGTGAAAGGTTTTCAAGTTACAAAGGTTTCGACTTGTATCAACTGAATAAGTCAACAGTACAGGTTCATACGAGTATGCAGGTATACGGTTGAGCTGCGCATACATCCATTCGAATGGACCCCGAGTGTTGAGAATAAGAAATGTAGATCCCGAATGCATGTACTTCTGTAAAACTCAGAATAGACTGCTCAGGGTAAACTTGACAGTTTATTTTGGGTGAGTGCTCTTTGGACTTTGAGTCCAACAGTTTACTTACCATCCGTCGTTTGAAATTATCATTGACCTTTTACCGAAGGGCCTATAACAAACAAAATTATTTGCCCATCACGTGATACAGTCCACCCATGAAATAACCGACATACCACACTAGACTACTACTAGTGCATTCTCGGCAAAGTATAAATAAAGAGGATATAATGTTATAGTCGGGTGAGAATGCGGAGAGGAACTCTCTATTCTCTATCTGCGATTTCTTGATTTTGGTGTCGCAATGCTAGTAGAATACAAATATGAGAAAGCAGCAAAGAATATCAATTTTCAAAAAATCTAGCACGTGCTCCAACCCGACCTTTTGTTTACTATTTACCGCACAGTAGCTCCCTTCAAGCTCTCAACGCGACATGTTCCCTTGCCCTCAACCATCAGCTTCCCAACCGGGCCCTCACCTGGCGCCTTGCCCTTTGCCGCATCACCTTCCCAGCCGGCCTTTGAGCGGTCGAAGATCACCTCATTCTCTTCGCTCGTTGAGAAACCGGGCTGGATTGCCTCCCAAATCTTCTTCTTTGGATTCAGCACTGCCTCAGGCTCACCCTTGTAGCCCTCAAAGTACACACGCTCACCAGCTACTGCACCCTCTGGGGGGGCAACGAGCTCGACCTTGCCGTGGTCGTCACCGACGGGGGAGGCGGCGAGGACCATAGCAGCGGACTTAACACCACGCATAGTGACGGGCTTGAGGTTGGCTACGACAACAACTTTGCGGTTTTGCATGGCCTCCAGGGGGACAAGTCCGTTAAGACCTGAGCATACTGTGCGCACAGGAGGGAGAGGGTTATGCGCAGCGAGGACAGACTCGGGGAGGGTTAATGTTCCAGGAGGAGTGACGAGAGCCGAGTCAGCTGGGTCACCCATGGCGATGGTAGACACGAACAATGAGTCGGCGTTGGGGTGAGGAGTGCAGTAGAGAATGTGACCGACGCGGAGGTCAATCTGGTAGGGTGAAAGTACAGGTTCTGTAGATTATGTTAGCGGTGTCCTTCCAATGAGTAAAATATTTTGTATATACGGGCCTTCCTTTGGTGGGGCCTCTCTGCGAGGGCCCTTCTCCTTCTTCTCCTTCTTCTGCTGCTTCTTACCGTCGCCGGCAACAGCAGTTGCAGCTTTGTTAACCTCCTCTTTAACAACCTCCTTGGCCTCAACAACCTTCTCCTTAGCCTTCTCGGCAGCACCAGCCCTTCCCTTAACCTTCTTCTCGCCCTCAGCGCCCTCCTTCTTCTTCTCCTTAACAGCCTCTTCAGGCTTCAAGTACACCAATACCTTGCTGGGGTCAATCTTGACCTTCTCACCCTCTGGCAGGTTGAGCCCAAATACAGGCGAGTTCTGGATAAAGTCGACCCAGCGGACAATGTTCCTGTAGCCAGTCTCTCCAGTCCTCTGGTCATCTGTCCATCCGGCAACATCGTCCTTGAGACGGGCATACATAACCACATCTGCGATGGAAGGCTTCTCGCCGAGGATTGTGGTGCGGAGCTTGAGCTCATCGTTCAACAAGCGCAGAGTGTCCTCAATGATCGGGGAGGAAGCAGTGAGGGTGAGCCATTGGGTGATTTCGGCCTTCTCGAGGTCTGTGTATTGGTCCTCCTTGAACGCGGGAATGAGTGTTGACAGGTGCGAAACAATGGTGTTTGTTCCCGCAACAGTGTCGGCGTTGCTCAACACAAGCTGGGACACTGCCGGGGTAGACTCGGAAACAGTGACTGTGGGAGTGAGAAGGTTCTTGAATGACGATATGAGAAGCTGGAGTGGCTTGTCGTTTGGTGCGACTGAGAGTGTGTAGCCAGCCATCTTTGTGGTTGTGTATCTTCGCTGTATGAGCTGCAGGAGCACAGAAACTCGACGAGGAAGTACGCGGGCTGCTTTACGGAGAAGGGCTGAGGTATTCAGTTTGAAGATTGTGCTGGAAGCGTTTATTGATTAGGAGACCGCGCGCGATGACTCTTTTCTGTTTCTAGCTGCGGGGTGCGAGATGCCCACCTGCCAAGACAATTATGCCCCACCATCAATGTCATTGATAAAGAACTGGGGTTTAGGGTTGAGGGTTCAAATCCATGCATACGGCTCTGAAGATTCAGATCTCATCCCCTGTCACTTTTTCTTTTGTAGGAGTAGATACTCATTCGATACTAGGCTTATTTTACACCAGTAAAACTTTCCCTTACGTATGCCTTTCAATTGGACAGAGTGCGCGAGTTCATGACGCCGGTGCCGAGTGATACACTGTGAATCAGGATTTAATCAAAGAGGTTTTCCAAGGGAATAAAGGTGTAACTGAGCTGAACTTAACGATTTGGAAGTTGGAAAAGACACAAGTACTATATGTACTCTTATAGTCGAGGGCTTGGAACAGGCTTTCTTCTAGTTGAGACTTGATCTGTAGCTCAACAGGCATCAGAAGGCGCAGATTTCTTCACATCTACCAATAGGGGGATTTTAAAGGCGTTTGCAGACATATCAATTATCATAGGAAATACGGGCCCTTAGTTACTACCAAAGCAAGCGAAATGAAATGAAGAAAATGAAACATGGCAGGACATTATGAATCTCACTCCAGACATCTAGACCCAAGCCTTAAATGTTGCGACATATCTGGTCCCGATATTCCCCTCTTACTGATCATTATTAATCTCCTAGAGCATACATATGCATACATGGCTAGACAAGAATATAGATCCTGTCCATAGGATGCAGCCACAAACATATAACTTGCATAACACACCCTTGAAAGCGGTGACTATAACGCAAGATTATAGTCGTCTTCATCTTCGTCTTCGTTCTCCTCACTGTAAATTTTCCGCGACTTACTACGCGGCTGACGACTTCTACTAACGATTGCCTGCCATTTTTGAGGAGTGCGTTCAGATTTCCTAGGGGTGCGCGACGGCGACGGGGAGCTGTGAGAGGGAGATGGGGGAGAAAAAGAGGACACAGAACTTGCAGGAGAAGTGCTGCCCAGAGTAGCAGAGAACTTTCTCTTAGTGGGGGTCTTGGGATCAGGATTCGGTTCCTGCTTGACTATGATTGTCGCACCCCAACCATCATCATCGTCGTCGTCTTCGCCAGATTTTTCTGGAACTGCGATTTGATCGAGGAGTGAGGTAACTGGGGGCAAAATAAAGGTTGCTGGAGGTATTGGGAACATGTCAGGCGGATTCAAAAACGATGTGGTTTGCAAGTCTCTGGTGTTATTTTGAGTGTTTTCTGGCATAATTTGGAGTGGTCCCGCGTCATCTTGCTCTTCAGTCTTGAAAAGTTCTTGGATCTGTGGAGCCGATGCCGTTGCCGTTACAGCTGCAGCGGCGGGTTGCTCGTTTCCCGGTGCCCGAAGCATTTCTTCATCATCACCTCTGTCCCCAGAACTAACCCCACCCCCCATATCATCATCCACATCTGAAGTCTGCTCATTTTTGACCACAACTCCAATTCTTTTGCCTGCCTTAAGCTTGGCCTTTCTTGGGGTGCTTTTATCCTCGATAGCATCCTCAAACTCAAGCTCTTTCACCTCTTCCTTAATCGACTTCTCTTCTTTCTCTTCTTTCTCTTCCTTGGGCGTCTTTGGAACCTTTTTCTTAGCCTTTTTCGGCAATGGATCGGAGGCGAACTGTGGCCGCGTATCGTCGGGGTTGATGGACTTTTTCAGACGGCTCCAACGCATGCGTGCTGCAGCGGGGTTGATAGCAAAGTCCGCAGCGACACGGGAAAAGTCAATCTGTATATATGCCAATTAGAATTCTATTAAATGAAGATTATTAATGGATGTTCAGGTAGACATACAGTCTTGTAGTCACTACGGATAAGGCATGAATACAAAAACTTGACATTCTCGTCGAGAGGGGCTTTCGCAGGCATCTTTCAAAGTTTGTTGGTCTCCAACACGCTGATGAGACGCTGATATAACAGTTGGATTTGAAAGCCCAAGATAGTGGGATGTGCAAATGTTAAAGGTTGTTCAGAAGCCCCGGTTGAAAGCAAGAATGAAGAGACGTTGGAAGGCCGAAGATACAAGTTTGTTATAAATCCCCGCCAGAATTAAATCCATGAACAAACTAGAACTAGCATCCATCACGGGTGGCGAGTAACTACATGTAAGGCACTTGCACTGATGTACTGATACTGCTAGTGGATTCGGGAAGACGCATCGGGAAATCTAGCCAGCCAACAGGATGTAAGGACTACTATACCAACTCATTCTTCCCTCGAAATGGCCCAAGCCATATCCCAAATTGGGCTGAGGAGCTCAGACCCAATGTTGTGATGTTAGTACCGTGTAGTTTGAGTTTGCGAGTGATTTTTCGTGAAATACCTCGATGTTTGAAATAGGATCTATTGTTGACGTTACAATGCCGAGTTAACACAAAAGTTGCAGAGCTACGCAATTTACCATTATATTTATTCAAGACGTAGGACTAGTGGCTATAGGACTTTTTACGAACATTTCTTAGCGACGCATGCTTTGACTCCACCCTCATTCTTTACAGACAAACACTGAGGCTGAAACTCAGCGCGCGGGTAGTGACGTAGGTGGGCGTATTCGATAGGCCGATAAGCTCTCCTAAAATCAACCTGTCTCAGATAACTAGCAGGTACATACATACATGTGCTTAGTATCACGACCTTTGTATTTAAATGAAATAAATTTCTTCAGCTGCGGGGTGCTCTGTAGCCAGAAGTTCTCAGAAGCAGATACTTCGAGTGATCTCTTCGTTTTTCTGGCCTAATCATGCAACCCCATTTTTTTAGAGTCCTGTTTCTGTCTTAACCCGACCTTAAAACCATTGAAGAATCTCCATATTTCTCCAACTGATGACGGAAACCCTTAAGTCTCATTTACCATTAATAGTTACTGACGTGACATATATGAACATCATAATATATATAGGGACAAGCATGGCGGGGGAGTGAGACCAACAGTTGAACGTACTCGTATTTCTCTGACGTTTGTGGACGCGACTGATATTGCATGCCATACAAAAATACGCCAAGCTCATGATTTTGGGTGTATGCAATAATGGCCCAGTTCAAAAACGTCAGCGAAATACTAGTAGAGTACTCAGTTGCATTACAGATATTGTCCCTGTGCACGCTACTCCAAGTAATTCCCACATTGGCTCCGGGAAGCAAACATTAGGTCCTAGGAGCTTCACCCTTAACTCGACTCTATGGTTATGAAAGCCAATGTTAAGATACTATGTGAAAAGGGTTGACAGGGTCGCCCTAAACCCTCTCGCACCATAGTCTCTATTCGCGACCTCGCAGTCACCCCGTCTTAAGACCGAATTATTCAGATGAGCACCAAGTTCAGGGCTTTTAGGTGCTTAGAGTCGTTCACGATGAAGTATAGGTCATTAGTGTTGGTTCAGTAGAAATCGCAGCGCGGGTCATGCCTTGTTCAATGGAAGTCTTTTATGAGATCGAATATGTCAAGGTGTACCATACATGTATGCTCCAAGTTAGGTTGGTTGGTTAGGATTCCTTGGCTAGGGTGTCTATTGCATCTTTGCTAGCTACACAATCGGTCTGGTTGGATTCATCCCCTCCACATACGCATTTATGTAATTTCATTTATGGCAGCATAATTACTACGGAACAATCCCCTGACAGACCAGGTTATTCATCGATCCCCTTGCACTGAACGTTCCTCTATTGATAGCCGTTCGGAATTCAGTACGATATTCGATAACTACCCTGAATAGCCCGACACTGGAAGAATGGGTAACGGTGACGGGTAGTATCAGGGGTAAACATACATGATAGGGGGACAACAAGCCGATTTTCCCAACAGTTCGTGGCTCTTTAGGATTGAAATTATGAGGGATGTCATCCCGACATAATGAGAAGCCCCTTCCCCTAAAACGGTTCGGACGAAGTGCTAATTATTGGTATGCCAGTGGGCAAATCAGTGCTGAAAATAAGGCCAGCTAGCTAACTGATATTGTATAGCCGTCACCAACGTAGAGCTCGTGGGCCAGGAACTCTCCTGAACCACAGCATTAAGATACACTCCCTCCCAACTAGTGATGGGCATGAGATAAGTTTTCTCGAGACTTTCGGCAAGACAAGACGAGACCTGAGGGTTGACAAGACCAGACAAGATAAGACTAGGCCTGAAAATCTCGAGACAAGTCTCGAGACTTTTTGGACTTTATTTCCACACCTAAATATGCTCCCCAGCCACGATTCCAAGAAAAGTTGAGCTTTTCATCGAGTTCCAAAAAAGAAAATCAACTTTTAATTTGCATTAACTATCATGATTATAGAGGTTCCCAGAAACAAAGTCACATGACCAAAAGTCTCGAGACTTTGACAAGACTAGACCATTGTCTCGAGATTTTCAAGACCTAGTCCAAATAATACAAGACGAGACGAGGCTTCCCCAAGTCTCGTCTCGTCTCGTCTCGTGCCCATCACTATTCCCAACGAACAACTGCATTCGAGAACGGCCCGAAACACTTACCAGAGGAGCCCAAGTTATTGTTCATAGTCCGAACCCCCCCCCCCCCCCGGGGAGTTTTTATGAACTCAATATCCAGCGCGTCTTAAGTATGAAAACGCTTCGAAAGAACTTAGTTCCATAGCCTTTAGATCAGTTGTCATATCTAATGAGAGTATCCGCAAGACGCTGTGCTTCCTGTCGGAAGCTCGCCGGACTAGTATGGTCAAATCTGAGAAAGGAGTTCCAATTCAAGAGATGACTCGTCAAACAAGCAATCTTGGATTCATCAAGTTTGTTTATGCCAACACTTTAACGGAGAAATAAAGAGAATTGGAGGACTCCCTTGATGGGATGGGCGGGGAAGAAGGCCAAGTCATAGACGATCACTCGAATTTAGAATTTCAAGAATTTAAAAGCAAACATCATAACATGCGTAACCAAAAGCAAGAACGTTAATCATCATCAGCCGGCCCAAGAGCCGCTGGGCTTCCGCTTCATCCGTTGTCGGAATTGGGCTTTGCTTGCTTATTCGCCTAGTATACAAAAACTCTTCACAATTTACTCAACCAAATTTGTCAGTATTGATTACACTGCCTACATGGTGAGCTGATGGACTCGTATTCATGAAGACAAGTTGGACTGACAAAGAGACCTGCACATACTTCGAGTGATTATTTATGACAACTAGATGTGAATGATTACTTTTACATGTAGCTAAGCTAATGCGGCTCCATATTCCTAGTTGTCATAGGTCACAAGATATTATTGATATAAGCTTGTTAAAATAGGGAAGTTTAAATGGCACAGTTATTCATAGACAAGATAATTCCGTTCAACCCCGCCTCATTATCGAGGTATCTCACTCAGATCAACGCTACCACGGAATGAGCTAGAAACAGCTCGAGACTTGACTTGACTCCCGTCAGAATTTGTGATGAATGAGGGGTTTACCCCCACTAAGCTTGGTAGTCCTGACGGGAGAGATCTCATGACAATATCTCGTTATTTCACGGCATACGTTTAGGCAGTCATGGATATAAGCGAAGCTCGAAAAATACCCCGGGAAAATAGGCAAGTTACTCTCTGCTGAGGATATCGTATGGAATCTTACAACACCATGTACTTACCTTCCGAAAGCAACCCGGAGAAAGAATAGCCGTGGTCTGATATCAACAGTTTAGTACGGAGAAAGTCGGCCTTAGTACTTCTTTAGAACTATTACAATAACAATAGAGAAGAAAGTTGTGGTGCAGTTATATTTGAACATCGTAAAGCATCGGTTAGAATCAGAACAAACCCTATACTGTATCTACATCGAGGGACTGGCTTTCCTTCTTTCGGGCACGATGACCCCGACAAAAACATTATCCCTCGGCCCAAAGTGCCTGAAGCCGATTCCAGGAGTTTTATGTTTCTATAAATGGGCTCTGCGCACGGCCCTTTTACGTCACTGATCGACAGGGAAGGTTATTATTGGAAGGAATCCCTGTGTAACATAAGCTCTTTCCCCGTTGAGTCTTATTTTCCGTGATAGGGTCCTCTACGGATATGTACGTACCTAGCAGGTACATACTGCATCTGCTTTCTGGCGGCGTGCTGGTTAACCTTCATCTATTCATGAGAATTCAGGCAAATATTTTGAAGATCTACAACCTTTTGTGCGATATGGGATTATTAGTACATACCTATGTACTCTAGAGCGATTTTAAAAGTTGGGGAAACCTGGGGCGAGAAGCTTAGTCGTTTCTGTGAGGAAACATCACGAGATCGAGACGATACGACAGGCTAACCCATTAAGATGTTCAATTGCGATATCGTAAAGGAGTGAATTCCCAAGTATCATCGGTACAGTATTGGAGCTGAATATTATATTAGGATTAATTCACAATTACAAGATCTCGGACGGCAGAGATCCGTCATGTAAATAGATATACGGGTTGTAGTCCGATCAATATCCCGCACATCCCCGGACCGACGGTTATCCATCACGAGAATTAGGGTTGCATATTGACTTTCCAATTGACGGGGAAGGTAGTAACGGCCGGTTGCGGTAAGGTAAAGTGCTCTAGAGTACTTTACCTACATGCTGTCTGTCTGCTTACCCCGGACCCTTGCACGATGTACCCGACATCCGAATCTCGTACTGAGTACCCCCGTGACCCAATTTGGTAATAATCTTCTAGAACACCATGACCACAAGTGGTGCAAAATAGACTACCAGTACACCAACCTTGCAAGATGTCACTACACCACACTATCTAAGCGGTATAACCGACTCTATCTATCCGTATGACATGGGAGAAATGGAAAATACGAGCTGTGATGGCTGGTAAACATGGCTGGGGAATGTAGTATCGTGATTAATATAATTTTCCCAATTGCAGTCTAGTAGTATATCGCCAGGTTGGCAAGATATCAAGATATCGTGGAAAGGACAGAATATATAAACTACTGTCCTCGTCCACCTCAAAACTTCTTTCTTCACCTCACTCACCATCGAGTTCAGTACAGTCACATTCCACTCGCTACCTCTTCACTCGCTTTTACAAACCACTCTCACAATAATTCTAATTACTTAACTCCACCTCCCCAAACCAATTATCAAAATGCAGTTCTCCACCATCCTCCTCACTCTCGTTTCCGCTGCTACCAGCGCCCTCGCTGTTACTGCAGCCTACGACACTACCTATGACACTAGCAGTCTCTCTACCCTCGTTCTCGCCTGTTCTGACGGCGTCAACGGCCTCTACACCAAAGGCTATCAAACTCTTGGATCTGTCCCCAATTACCCTTACGTTGGCGCTGTCGAGACCGTTGCGGGATGGAACTCTGCCAACTGCGGCAAATGCTATAGTGTGACTTATGGCTCTACCACTATCAAAGTTACTGCTGTTGACCACGCGGCTTCTGGGTTCGTTCTTTCCCTGGCAGCTTTGAACGCCTTGACTGGTGGACAGGGTGTGGCTTTGGGCAGAGTCGATGTTACTTATACGGAGACTGCTTGTTAAAAGGTGCAGATAAACCTTCTATTCCTTACACCTATATTTTAATTCTAACTCTATAATTAGCCTCCAAACTTTTCAAGTGGCGGTTCATATAAGATAATATGATACCTTATACGTACGAAATGAAAGGTTAAGCAAGGGGCAGGGGAGGCGGGTTACATGTACGATTTGTATACCAACATAGGAATGGAGGAATTTGGTCATAGGGCTGGATTTGGATGGGTTACCGGGAGATTTAATTTTCATACTGTACGATTTGCATGTATACTCTAATGGTTACTTTGAGAAATTTGGCACGAAATATCATAAATTACATATCTTAAAAAACTTTTTTTTGTGCAAGAGAGCAACCACCGCCTATAACCACTCATTCCGGACACATATATCCGGTGATTCGGACTGCTGGGATATATCCGGATACTGTCCATAATACTGACTGCCCTACTAGACTTCAACATCTCAACATGGTGGGAGAATTGAACCGAGTGATTATTGATGAGTGAGCCTGATGGGGGCTTGTTTTAAACGGCAACCATGAAACGTTACTAATAAAACGGCTGGTCCCTGCAGAGAACCTGCGCATCATGGTGAGATTACACGTATGTTATGGCTGTTGCATAAGACTAACCAGGCCCAAGCAAACATCACAGGGCAAAGTACAAAATGTAGGTTTATAGTCTACATGTAGTTCATGACGTAAGTAGACTATCATCAGTACCTGAGACATTCAAACAATCAGATTGAGAGCTGATGCACCTTGTGCACTTCCGTTCATTCTAGCATAGAAAAAGTGATAAGTTATAATGTTGTATAGATGTAACAATGTTATTGCGATAACTGACATAGACATGCAAGCAAAGAGTCATGCCGCTTCCATATAGAATGTATAATCGCCAATGCCCCAGTTTGATAGCCCTAAGCGGGTTGTTGCCCTAGCCACAAAACTAGCTGTAGTATGCATACATGTATGGCCGTATACTAGAACTAGAAAGCTTAAATTAACATCACCATCAACGATCCGACCCACCGCTAAGAGAGCGCTACCAACAACCAGGGTAGTAATGCCTGTCGCTTTAAGCGTTACGATGCCTTGTTTAACAGGTTTTGAAGACAAACCATTGCCTCCATACTCACCACAGAATCCGTTCTACCAGGGGCAGATCGAGAACCCGTGGACCCCCCCGGCACAGCGCTGGGCAGCTATAAAGACCATCAAAACAGTCATTCAAGGAGCTGAGATCACGGATGATGTCCTTGCAGAATGTGTTAAGCTGTTCAACGCCAATTTTGGGACGTGGAGCAAGCTGGCTAAAAATCAGAGAAACAAAGGTGTACCAGGTACGCCCGCTTGATCCTGGACATTACTACGACGAATTGTGTTTGTGATTACTGATACTATGGTCGACAGGCTCAGCGGTGGAGGCGAATGCGAAAACCCTTCGTGAAAACTGCGTTCCTTGCGAAGAAACAACTCTGGCTAGGATTTATGTTCAGGACAAGCTTGTTGGTTATGCATTCGCAACTCGATGGCCCCACCATGAGCGGGATGGTATGTTGATGATTATCGCAATTGTCGGTGCTAAGTACTCACTAGCTTTACAGGTGATGTGTGCTGGATCACCCAGGTGGTAGTTGATAAAAACTATCGCGGGGTAGGCCTCGCGACTGCTCTTCTATCAAAGTTCAAAACCTACACAGACGTCTTATATGGCATTATGTCACACCACCCTGCCGTGATCATGGCGTTGAAACGGGCTATTCTAGGGACCGGAGTCTCTTACCATGATCTGTCCTATACGCAGGCCTATGCCAGAGATGTTCTCCAGGGATCCATCATCGAAACCCACCAAGATGTGGTACTCCGCGGCACGCTCTTCAATCAAATTCCGCGCAACCCTGACGATGATGGGATCGTTTGTTGTGTCGAAACAAAGCTCATGCTTACGCATGATGATGCACTTTCCGCGCTGAGGTATCTGGAACAAGAGGGAAAGAATTGGGATTTTGGCCAATTACACCACGGGCTAGAATTCATCGCCCTGATTGAAAATAGGAGCTGCAAACAGAAACAGGGCTAGCTAATATTTGGCTACATGTACAGTAGTTTTTGTGGAATGTTCGAAGCTATGCATATGGATACGGGCCTAACTTAGTAGAACCTATGTATCTAATAATTGAAACTGGCTCGTTCATAAGTGTTGGCTCGGCAACAAATGTTGATCAATTTGTCGAATCAAAGTAGTCCAGGGATGTGGGGCTACCATCCCAATGTCTGAGACGAGACTAACTCTGCTCTAGTACCTACAGCCTATCACCTATCTACCTTATTATGGCCATAATAGTACCTCAAAGACAAGGTACACATATGCAGGTACCGAAGAACATGGAGGCTGTGACGTTTCTGGACGCCCTCCATGGTTACCCCTCATCTCATCGATTACGCGGGATATTCAAACGAACTCTTTACATCCAATCGATAATCAATATCCTCTATAAGACGCTAAAATTCACTAACCAATCCGTTTACATTCAAGAAGGCTACAATATCCTGTGTTATGGACGACTCATATAATCAACAAGGATGGACCGGAAGAGACATTGTTATCCGCGACAAGATATTCAACACCGCCGTAGAGGTTTTTAAGCGTCATGGAGGTGTGCGAATGGATACTCCGTAAGCCTCTTTGCAAACCAGAAAATGACCATAACGAACTTATGCTGGGATAAGTAAGCCAACAAGTGGATAACCTACTATAGTTATGTCGCGTCGCAAGAGATTTCTCGTCACAATTTGAGTCCCGAGGCTTTACACTTGCGTGCGCGCGTCCGTCTTTTAGAGTCTATAGAACGCTGGCTTCTAAAGAACCCAGAGGTTAAATCTACAAAGCGCTACATGATCATGAGGGACTGTATTCAGCGGATTCCTTGCTCTGATTGGGACGGTATCGATCCGTCCGACGGCCCCGAGGATCCTGTATGCAACTTCAGTATTGTCGGTGTACACGACGATATTCTTCCCGACGCCGAAATCTTAGGGACCTTAGCAGAAATATTGAGCAAATTAGATATAAACGATTATAAGATAAGAATTAACCATCGGAAGATTGCTGACGGAATATTCGAGAGTTGTGGGGTGTCTAAGGATGCGTCTGCATCAATTCGGTTTGCTATTTCACTGTTGCGGCTAAAGAAGGTATCTTCAAACCTCCGATTTTGGTATTTTTCGACCGCTGTGTAGTTTCTCGGGTGAAAATATCTCTGATGTCCAGTCGATAGGAGTTCCAATCGGATGATGATTTCCAGATAGAACTGGAAAAGCTACTATCACCGGAGACTGCCCGTATTCTGTCACAATACTTATCTAGAAAAGGTTCTAAAGATAATCTCTCCAGTTAATCTTCCATACTGAATCTTTAATAGGGGGGAGGCATCTTCAGTATGATTTGTTACTTGAGGAGGATTTGACTGTCAATGAGACCTTCTCAAGTGGGCTCCGTGAAATGGGACTCCTTTTTTATTATCTTGAGATGTTTGGTGTAATGGATAGGATTGACTTTGATCTTTCTTATACCCCACTCGTAAGTACCTGATATTCTACCATATATTGAAAGCTTCTCATATACATTCTAGGCAGGGATTGGAGTGGTATTCATGGTCGTAGCACCAAATCCATCTTTAGAATCGTCACCATCTCAAATAACTAAACCCACCGGAGATCTCGAGGGTAGTATCTGTCTAGCAACCGGTAGTCGAAATAATTTTAGAAGGGAAAAGGAAATACAAGTCGTTTCCTTCTCACTTGATGTGAACAAAACTTTTGATATCATCAAAAAGAAACTATCGACATCATCCCGGAAGGAGATACGGGAGAGCGAAACCGAGGTGTATGTTATGTCTTTCGGAGACGGGCTACTAAGAGAGCGGATTCAAGTTTGCAAAAAACTTTGGGGCGCAGGTTTTAAGGTTTGCAGTACTTGGAATTTCTACATATTCCAAACGGAACACAAGAACTGATGGAGACAGGCTGAATTTTCGTATCAAAAAAAACCAGAACTCTCGCACCAAATGACAACCGCGAGAGAAAGTGGTATTCCCTTTGCAGTAATACTCAGCGAACAGCTCCTGCAACAGCAAAAAGTCAAAGTCCTGGATTTGAGTCTCCGCGAGAGCCACATAGAGAAAACGGGGGTAGATGTAAATCTTCTGGACCTTGCCACAGAAATCAAACAGAGACTTGAAGATAAGCAGGATGAGAAAGAGGATGATGGAGAGGGAGACACGGATAGTGAATCTACTGAAGATATTGACAGTGGTGCTGCTAGTGGCGGAGAGAGGTTTCACGAAAACGTGAAAAAGGTTAAACTTGAGGGTGGGACCGTGGATATGGAGGGCATTGAGATCGAGATGGATTTTGCCAAGATTACGTCAAAGGGCGCTCAGATTGAGGTTCAGGGGGCAAAGATCAAGATGAAGAATGCGAAGATTGAATTGAGGGGACGCAAGGAGTAGAGTTACATGGAACTCGTGAGCCTGAAACTATTGATAAATGTGCCTGATTGTTATAGAGAGGCTTACTTCATAACTTTATTAGATAACTAGAATGAAAAGGTCCCGGACTATTTAGCCCCCGCTTTCTTGTTATATGATATAAGACTAATTGTCCTTTGTAGTGTCGTTTGCGCGAGTTGTATTTGTAAAATAAACAAATTGAGAGAAATTTACTGTTTAACGCATAATCATAAAGTAAGTATGCATACACTCTGATGAAACCCAGTGATTAATAAACTCCAGCTGCCCCAAATTAACACAGTCCTTTCAGGATTCTAAAAATTTGTGTTTCGTTCATGAGCTGAATCCTGAAAAGATTCCTCCTCGATTCCTCCTCCCTTTTCAATAGTTGAAGCATCTTAAAAATCTCGATGTAGACCTCCCATTCCTGGAAGGCCAAAAAATGCGGCAGTTTCGATATGCTATCAAGGTGCTCCATACGTGCTGTGATTTCATTGTACCTTTGGTATGCGTCGGAAGCAAGATTACCAAGAATACATATTGCTTGCGTACAACCATTTATTAGGATTTCATTCTCGATAGGAGCTATATCTCTTATGAACAGCGTTGATAGCAGTCGACCACCAGATCCTGAGAGCAGAGATTCTAAAATCGAGCTAGCTTGGTCGTGATTAAATTGGCGTCCAGTCATTCTCTCAATTATTCCTTGGGAGTATAACCTCAATTCACCCAGAATGTACTTTTGAGATGACCCGTATTTGATACCACCATACCTCCCGGTGCAGATATCATAAAGCGACATTAAAGAATAATCAATATCTTCTTTAGATACGAATTCGATGGAGAACAGGCAGGATAGAAAACCTCCTACAAGCCTATTTCTTTGCAAGACCATTTCACGTCCGAAAGTGGACATGTTGGGTATTTCGTTGTTCCTGTAGGAGTAATGTAGATACATGTAGTTGTGGTTTCGTGAAAGTTGCATGAGAACATAACATGTAAATATTCTTTTATACTGGACATCTCAATTGACATAGAATGCTATTGATCTTTTGATACATTCATTGATCCAATACTATGAAGCCACGGACGACAGGCGGGATGAATTCGGGCTGTGGGCATACGTGTAGTTAGCTTGGCCAGTGACCTATATTGTTTAAACAAATAGATATATGCAATTACTCGAAGACTCGAGGCGGGTAGTATAAATCTGAAGATTCAAGCCGAAAGCAGGTCTCGGCCAGGATAATGATCGGGCAGGTCCAACCTGGTAGTATTTACAAGTAGTAAATAATGAAAAAAGAGGGCTCCAGAGGGAATGGAGGATTGCGGAAAAGATAGACAAAAGTATTTACGTAGTAACTGATTGAAAAACCTCGATCTCTCCTATCCTCCGGAAGCAGGTACATAGCTTCATATCTTCCTCTGTTAGGCAATAATAGTAACAGCCATAACGAATCGATAGAGCACTTTATATTGCTCTACGGGTGCCCTCTAGCTAGTGTCTATGTCACGAAGAGTGTCAAGACGGCGAAGAGCGCCAAGGCCGTGAACGCCAATCGAGTAGCGATACAAAGGCTATTTAGTGTGCTTTCAACTGGCCACGATACAGTCTGCATCCGATCTACATACTCCCCTTTATTATAGCTTCCCTCATTAATTCTCTCCAAGATGATAACAATTATGAAGAAATCTTATTGAACGAGTTGACGTGTGAAGTTATTCGGATTTAGAGTATTTGATTATGAACCCTTTGTAAAAGGCAACTATTATTTTGGTCGCTCCACTCGATACTTTTATTCTCTTTTTTCTATCCAAGATAATTGTATTTAAAACTGCATTCATTGGGTATCAAAGTAATCCATGCTTTCTAGACAAGAACATATTGTCTGCTAGATTCGCATAACTGCGTCACAGCGTCAACACGATAGTTAATTTCCATCAACTCCCGCAGTCGAGGTATTTGTAGGCTGTCCCAGTTCCTCCAATGCAACGTTAGGGTGCAAGACAAACACGGTTCTACCGCCAGCTGAGCTACTTCCTTCTTCGGTTTCACCAACGAGGCCTTCACCACGGATTTGCATGAGGATGTTGTCCTGTAAACACGAACAAATTAATTTACGACAAGACTTTACGCATAGAGAAGTGGGGATACAAACCTTGACCATCCTCTTGATAACCTTTTTAACTAGTACCTTCTCATCCTCCAATTCCTGCTCGTCGTTAATTTCTTCTTCTCTCTGCTCTAGATACCATGTTATTAACTCCTCCTCTTCGACACCCTGTCCAGTCGTAAGTTCGTCTTCATTTACCCTCCTAACCAATAGATTGAGGATTTGCATGTAACGATCGTAGGTAATCTTTGTCTTCTCCCTTGGAGGTTGGCTAGCTCTTGTAGAAGGTGCTGGGCCTGGAGTCGCGGTGGGGTCCCTTGTGCTTTCTTCCTCCGCATCCATTTGCATCTCAGAATCTCCCACTGGTACATCGTCTTCGTCATCATCAACCTCGACATCGTCCTTCTCAACATGAATGATACTCTGGCGCAATAGACCGAAAGCTTCAATTACGAAAGCCTCAGTGACGTCCTCCACACAATTTGCTTTCGCAATGGCCTCAGAGAGACGGATGAGAGATTCAAGTTGACGTACCGTGATGCGGTAACTGTTACGACCGACACCACCCTGTGCATCATCTGCACGAAGTTGTTTGTATTTCTCGACAAGAAGTACCTTGGCTTCCTCTGTGAATACTGGGCGGAATGTGCGTGCAAATTTGATATATCGTTGAAGCTGCTCAGTTGTAAATTCCGGCGTAATGGCAGCATCGCGATTGCGATGAATGTTAACAATATGACGAGCAAGGTGCGTGTCTACTGCTTCATTACACTCATCAAGTACGACAAAGAAGAGATCGAAACGCGACATGATAGGAGCGGACATGTTGATATTACTCCTCAGAGTTGTTTTCCGGTTGTAACGTCCTCCTACAGGATTTGCTGCAGCAAGAATTGATGTTCTGGCATTGAGAGTTGCCTGAATACCTGCCTTTGCAATAGATATTGTCTGCTGCTCCATAGCTTCGTGAATGGCAACCTGATCAACGATATCCATCTTATCAAATTCATCAATGGCACATATACCATTATCTGCAAGCATGAGTGCACCGGCCTCGATAGTGAATTCGCCGGTTTCTTCGTCTTTAACGACGGCGGCAGTAAGACCAGCCGCTGAGGAAGCCTTTCCAGAGGTGTATACTGCTCGTGGGAGAAAAGAGCAAATATATTTCAAAAATTGCGATTTGCTGGTGGAAGGGTCGCCGACAATACAGATATTGATATCACCACGGAGACTCATACCCTCTGGTGTCTTTTTATGAACACCGCCCATGAGTTGTAAGAGCAAACCCTTTTTAATGATTTCATGTCCATACACCGTTGGTGCCAGACTATTCGTCGTGTCAGCAGTGAAGTCTTAAGAGGTTATGAGAGTACTACTCACGAATTTACCAATCTTGAGTAAATATGATCACTGTGTACCATCCCTTTTAATTCGGCAATCTCCGCCGGTGTTAAGCTGTTCAAAAAGTCCTCCTGCTCTCTCTCGTCATCACCAACTCCTGCCTGAGTTCCCCTCAGTAGCCCAGCGACTTCCTCTTCCTCTTCACTTTTTCTCATTCTTGCACCTGGAACCCCGCTTGTATCACTTGTAACCATACATGCCAAGAATGCCAGCCTATATGTTAAATCTCTGACACCTAAACTTTTCAGACCAGTGACACCAGTACTCTCTGCGCCTCCTCTCGACGCGTTTTTCACATCCTTCATACTTTGAGCTTTCAGCCCCGGAAGGCCTAACATGCTCACATCCGGAACTACAATTAATGTTCCAGTGAAAATGCATTTCTCGCCGGCCTTCGCTCGCTCCACAATCTCTCCGCGCAAGATAATATCTAGAGTCCTAGGCATACTTCCCGTGGGAATCTCTCCGGAATTCTCCTGCACACGTACTTTTTGCCAATCTATAAATGTACTCTGCTTTATCTCCAATCTCCACCCACTACGGTTACCACAGGTGAGATTGGGGCATTGTGCAGGTTCCGTATATCTAAATGTTTGTTCAACATTGGGTATTACAGTACGGCAGGCTTCGCAGGTAAATGTAGCGAGAAGAAGCTCTGGACGGACCTCGGAGGTGCGAGTAACAGTTGCAGAGATAGAAGTGAGAGTTCCGATCTGCGCAGTGCGGAGCGAACGGATACGGGTTGTAAGAGGTAAATTGTGGAATCCAATTGAGAAAACTTTATCTGCAGCTGGATCAATCTTTAAAGGAAATTAGCTTGAGATCTGTTGGGCGTTAAATGGTCGAGAGGACATCAATTGCTCCAAAACCTGAATTGAATAGTAAATCAAAACTAACTCACCCCTTCATTACCACCGACGCCTCTTCCAGCCTTTCCCCAGTATTCCGGCTCATGTCTTCTGATGCACGCCTCCAATCCTCTTCTCAAGAACGGCAGGAAACGATAATGTCTCTCAGTGATTGCCTCAGCAAAACCTCGCACGTTGGTCTTACTCCAATACTCCAAATGTGAATAGTCGACAAACAAAGTACTCAGATCCATCGCTGCCATGTTGTGAATTGCCGCAATGTAGTATTTATCCGTACTCGGTGGTGCAGTCCCAGAAGGAGCTGACGATTGCGGGGGGAGTGGATTCTCCGGGTCCTCGACAAAACTAATCCTGTCAGAAAGCTCTGATTAACTGTACAATGATACTTACTTTTCGAGAAACCCAACGAATGCGTTCATGATCTGGTCCCCGGCTTCGTCTGATACCTTTGGCACAGCACTCAAGTCTGCTCGAGGACGACCTGCTCTCCCTGCAAGATCTCTTGATCCAACCACTTCATCTTCAGGATCGATGTCCATTCCGCCATCATCACTTGTAGGGCCCGGCGCACGAGAGGATGATCGTCCTGCATTACCACTACGTCTAGGCGGTGGTCGGGGAGTTGCAGGGTCCCCGGGGGTGGGGAGATCTGAGTAGAAAATGGAGTCTACTAGAGATGACATTGTGGAGATGGAAAATTTCAATTGAGCTCGACGTGGTGGTGGTATATATTTTGGATATAAAGGATTGAGCAGAAAATTTGGTGGTTGTGTTGATAAGGAGGGGGTCTGAGCACTTGGAGGGGGATAGCAGATTGAGTGGATCACGATTCAACAAAGAGAGACGCGACACGAGGAAACGCGAAAACAGCCAACCAATTAAGGGGGACCCATTTACTGCCACATTAAGCCTAGTTCGTATGCCTTTTAACCCTAACCCTACATGAATATATGGCCGTGGTAAAGTGCCTACAGCCATCTTGGCTTCGCCTTGCCATGATGATCACACCTCATAATTAGTCCCATTGCATCAAGTCCTACCATGATTGATGAACTTTGCCCTGAGCTCATATCCCTAATATATGGGTTCTTATCTTCAAGGTCAGACATAAGGAACATGCGGCTGGTTAGCAGAGTTTGTGGTGAAGTTGGGTCCAGGTCACTCTTCAAAGTTCTTCACGTTAATCCCACTTTTGCAAGCTTGACAGACTTCGGACTTAGGAAAGTATCCCAAGTGCGGAGATTTGCCCATGTTGTCGAGGAGGTGATTATACATATTAAACATCCGCAAGATATAATAGATGGAATCTGTCAACAAAATCTGGTCCCGAAGCATGGGAATCCCACGGTAGATTATCACGCAATATGGAAACCATTTCAGACAGAAACCGAGATTCGGTGGTTCAGAAGTATACACGAAAGAAACTGTGCTATGGCTCTCACAGAGTGTTTTTCTGCATTACCGCGGCTTATGGCCATCGAAATTTATCAGGAACCAGTCAAACCCGGGGGATTTATTGAAGGAGATTATCGGCCGAAAGCAGAAGCAACTTACAAGCTCTGTGCAATCATGATCGCCGCGAGCACTTTAAAGAACAAACTAGTTTCCCTTTCAACTAATACATCTCTCATTTTTAACCACCAGCGTTGGCTTCCATATTCGCAGAAGGTCCTCCGAGCCAGTGTCAGAGATGTTTTAGAGAACATCCGAACTCTACATATTCGGCCTGTGCGAGGGGGGGTAGATTTTAACACTGATATCCTAAATATGGCAAAGAACCTAGTGCAGCTCCGTATTAGATTTACCCATATAATCAACCACAGACCCAGAGATGACTGCTTTCACATCAGTTCATTGATAAGTGCTTGGAACTTCTGGCCACACTTGAAGGAGTTGACCCTCGAAAATTTTGCCTTAGGGGATCATAAACCTCTTCTGCATCTTTTAGAAAGGCACAAATCAACACTTCGAGTATTCACTATGAGAAATTTTGAACACAATTGCCTATGTGTTTCAGAATTCAAGATGAGCAGGTCCTTAAAAATGTGGGAAAATCTGATCAGAAAGGTGAAGGGTATATTGTCTAACTGTCAAATTAATATCACTACCCACCCATAGTATTATGGCTGTTCTGGGGGAGGTAACAAACGCGAAAATGCGTGCACCGGCTGATGCCTGTGTTTTACAAAAATGCGGTAATCACCATCAGATTATACCATAGGAGTATACATACATAAGAAACTATGGTCTGAACGTTCGATGATGTTTTACGTGTCATGTGGCTATAATAACTTCCAAGACAGGTTGTTTTAATCGGCTTAGGTAACTAAGGGGTGATCGGTCTTCTAGCCTGTATCATTCTTATTTCTTAAATTACAACGAAAATCCAGGCAGTGGTTTAAGAGATACTGAATTTCATGTAGCTACATGTGACTACAACACAAGTATGTACATGTTCCTTGTCCACTTAGCCTCAGCGCTGAGCCGGTTTTAAACCATATTCAAATCAAGGAGTTATGTAGTTCTCCTCGGAGGCTGCATCTATTTATCTGAAGTTGTCAAAATGAGAGATCGTGGCCTTTATCTTTGCCGTATGCGTGGTCATTAATTACAAGTATGCACATTATAAGTACATGATGCAATTACTATGAAGTCTACGATGCCCATAGTATGTACATGTAGTCTATAGGTCCGGCAGAGGCATGGCTGTCGCTGTAGTACGTATACCTGAACTTCGGGGCCCGGTTTGTCTTTGCCCACTCTCAATATGGGCAGTTTTCACAGCAGTCTGGTCTTCAAAGCAAATAAACTGCCCAGCTACAAACATTGGTGAGAGTGCCACCATGTTATGATACATACATGTAGTGCACTGTCGAGTGATAGTAAATGATTGATCTGCCGAGTGACGATGAATGACGCACCGAATCTATCGAATAGGTCGTGATTAGCTTATATAAATCATTATTGAGAGCATAATCGTAAAGCAACCAATGAATGACGATTCGCTATCATGATAACCTCCGGGTATGGTCACTAACCTGCTATCTGTTCATCTTTATTACCGGTGTCGATACGTCAAAAAAAAAAGAAACACAAGTACTGCCCAACCTAAGATTATATATAGAGCCCTTACACGGAGAAGGTCTTTTCTTCATACCAGCCTCCATAAATTAAGTGGCTATGGTATATCGGTCCCATTCCAGGGGCCTTTACAAGTTTGTCTGGGTACTAGTCATTCAAACTTGATCCTAGTAATACCCGCTAGATAGAATAAAAGCACGGATGAGGTACATATAGAATATGATAACAATGCCTACATGCAAGCGGGTATCAAGACACTGGGAGGGGTTGTGAGGGAAGTCCGGGATATCAAATAACCTACCTACAGACTGGTCCGGGATAAGGAACATAACCCCAGGTTGTCTCAGATAACCCCTGACACAATCTAATCGGATCCGATAACATTGCCAACACCGATTGGGTCGCTTAATCTTCAACCTTGCGACATGGCACCTCCCGACAACGGCGGCGGCATCTCCAAGCTCGCTTTCCTCACCTACAGCGGTCAAATCCCTCCCTCCTTGACTTCTTCAATGCCGATGACCCACCACTAAAGCGTAGATAAAGAGTCTCTTTTGCGGCACCCAAAATGTCGACTACCACAAATCTCCACCCTCCCCATTCCTCATCCTCCCACATGCCCCCGGCGACCCCGACACCAGGTGCACAGACGTCAAGGCAGATGACATTATGGATTCATGATCCTGATGCAAACCCTACGCTATCGCGTCAAGATGCGATACTTAATTACGAGTTGTTTGCGCCTGGTATCGCGAAACCAGGGGATATTGCGGAAGTTAGGCTATTGCCAGGGAACAATACCGGTGACGATGTTCCAACCGCGGGGGGGATCGGCGTGGCTGCAGAGAATATGGAGAGGAAGAGAAGTGTTTCTAATAATGGATGCGGTGAGGGGACGGAGAGAGGGTTCCCAATGCAGCCGAAGAATGACAGAGGGGAGAAGAGGTTCTTATTTGTGGTGAGAAAACTGACGGCGGAACAAAGGTCGAAGCCCAATATGCAGGTATGTCAATGATTTCCTGATCAGCTCCAATAGGTTGTTAGGGTGGAATGCTTAATTTTATGGGTCACAGATCTCCTTAGCAAATCATGTCGCAAATCTATTTGGTTTCCCATCTAGAGCTACGGTGATTGTCTCGATCGTGAGTTCCCTAATCCATTACTCGTCACTGGTAGTTAAAGAGCTAAAGATAAGAGTCAAAGGTCGAAAAAGAACATCATGAGGCCAGTCATATAGAAATTTATTTCCGAGACCAATATATCTCTCGAAGTGACATGTGGCGCATGTCCACTGCTCTCTTGACCGATACATGTCCTTACAACGCCCAAAAACTTCTTTTTATACAGTCCGTTCGCGGTACAGTGGGAAATATTTGGGTTCGCGGCGAAAAGGTTCAGTCAGCATACTTCTCTCCACATACGGTCCCAATATTTCGTTCAGAATCAGCGCACTATGTTCTCTTCGTGCAGATGTCACGCGAGATGTGGCATTTTGACACCGACGACGGCGGGGAGGGAGATCAAGGGCTGGACACGGGCGGTGCTGGTGCTGGTGTTGGTGTTGGAGGCGAAATCGTTTTCAACAAGCTTGTCAACGGTTTCCTCCCAGAGCTCTTTAAAAGGTGGAAACGCATCAACGCCCACCACCTAGTCTCGATAGTTCTATTCACCCGAGTCGTCTATGAGCATGGTGAACCTGTAGGTATCCTCAATGGCGGGAAAGAATCCGAAGAATTTCTCGGGACCCCCGGTGGAATCGGAATAGGCGAAGGCCGCCGTTATCGGGATTTTTACCGCGTCGTAGTATCTTCAATGGCATCGGCAGACTGGACTATTATTCTTCATCGACTGAAACGTGAATTCACTGTATTCCTAAGGGATGTACTCGTTCAGCCTGTTGAAGACGACGAACCAAGCCCAGATGCAGATAGTACACCCATATCTACCAGTGCTATCTCTACCGCAGTTTCCCGCCCTGGGACCCCGGCCGCGTTCCCCCTCCAGATCACAGAAATGCTTCGGCCTGCTTCCTCATCCACTAATTCCCAGCCTTCCCCGAGAATCCCGCCTCAAAAGGAAGCGCCAAAGCCGAAAGAAAGGAAAACAATCATCGCTGGTCGTCCTTCCGCAGCTATTCATGGTAATATTCTTGAGGCTATCAATCTTGCTACATTTCAGTTTAGCCAAGATTATGTTGACCGTGACCTTGTTCGTACGGGTATCAGTGTCGTAATTATCACCCCTGGGACCGGCCATTTCGAGGTCGATTATGACATGTTGAAAGCCACTACCGATGGCCTCATTATGAACGGCATGGGCGTGGACCTAGTCTGCCTTTCTAAGGTCCCACTCCACACTGTCCCCCTCTTCAAATACCGTAATCCATCACCCCGCCCCGCTCCAACCCCACACGAATACCAAGATGATAAACCTAAATTCCTTGGCGTCTCACCTCCAAAGGTTACAATCGGTTCCCAGAACTCGAGTATTCCTCCCCAACCACCGATTCAACCACAGCCTCCACAATTGGGGGAATGGGTTTTCGCCGTCCCCCACTGGATCGATATCTCGTTTTGGTCCGCGGCCTCTGAGAAGAAGGTCA